TATAAACAAAAATTTTAAAAAGGTGTACAATAAATTTAACATATTCATTTTATGTACATAAAAGGGTAAAAAATAAAACAAAGGAAAAACCAAAAAAGAACAACAAAGCGAATAATGTGCAAATTGTATACAAATTGTTGGTCGGCAAAAAATGTTCATAGATACGCGATCCCCAAATTATTGAATGGGAAGTGGATATTTTAATATATAACTCCAGACAAATTTTAGCAGAAGCTGACATCTTCCGTGCTTAATACAACAAAACAGTATATAAAATAAATACATCATGTTACTTAGTTTATTAATAATGCATTTTCCTTGCTAAGTAACTTAAGTTAAATCCGTGATGACTCCGTATAAGATATCTTAATAGACAAGTATTCATTACATAGAGGCAGTATTTAACATACACTTGATTGTAACAAAGTGATTGTCATTGTTAGGGACAGCTCTTAAACACTATAAACTACTGTGAAATAATTAATTTTCAAGGGTGGTTTAAATGCGTTAATTTCGTGGGTATTCTTAATCAACGAATCTATCTGTCCAGGAACTGTTAAAATTAGTATAAGCATATTTGAGATATACCATTCCATAAAATCAAGTGTCCACGAAATAGTATTTTTTCAAAAACCATGAAAATTAGGCTCCATAAAAATGTATGATGTGATGGTACTACACGTGTTATTTCGACAAGAGTTAGATAGACAATTGTCAGATTATGACAGTCAACATTTTGTTATTTTCGATTGGTTCTAATTGTCAATATTTGTCAGGTTGAAACAAATTGTGAAAAACTATAGCCCATTTCAAGCACAGGCACTCGAGGCCAGGATATTATTTTTTAAACGTTGATTTTTGTTTTAGCACTCATGACTGACGTTATTTAAACGAAATATCAGCAGAATTCAAGTTTATGTGCCGGTTGACAAATCCGAGGTCCACGGTCATTAAAAATACACAAGGCAAGCAACTCCAGATTTTAAAAAATCGACCCCTCGCTTGGAAACTGGCTCAAAAAAAGTAGTTATGATAAGTTCCTTGTAAAACAATATGTATCCGTAGGTAGTGTGTATATTTACCTTTTATTTGGTGCATAACATTACAGGCAACGAGAAATTCACAATACGTACATGAGATTAACATCTCAATAATCGGAGATTTTATCGTCCATGTAATTATCTTTGACGGAAGTAACATGCCATTTCAAGGGCGGTCACTCCGACTTTTTGGGAGAGGAGTTCCGGATAGCACTATACCAGTGAACAGGTAAGAAAGGTTCCGATGTCATTACGCGCGTAACTTCAAAATAGATATTTTTATTTCTACAAATACATTTGCGGGGATGGAAAAATAATGGCTGGGCATTTAAAAAAAAAATAGAAAAAAAATCATTTAATTTAAAATTTCTAAGTTAATATATTTCCCCCACGATATTTTTCATAAATTGCGCCCTTTTTTCATTATCTGCATGATTTTTTTTTTCTATTTTTTTTTGAAAAAAAATTCTCATTACCGCCAGCTTGATTGAAATTTGATGCATTCTGTATAATCCCTTACCATGATATTGTATCCGAGTTGGCAACTGTGGACTTTCTTTGCCCAGCCATTATTTTTCCATCCCCGCAAATGTATTTGTAGAAATAAAAATATCTATTTTGAAGTTACGCGCGTAATGACATCGGAACCTTTCTTACCTGTTCACTGGTATAGTGCTATCCGGAACTCCTCTCCCAAAAAGTCGGAGTGACCGCCCTTGAAATGGCATGTTACTTCCGTCAAAGATAATTACATGGACGATAAAATCTCCGATTATTGAGATGTTAATCTCATGTACGTATTGTGAATTTCTCGTTGCCTGTAATGTTATGCACCAAATAAAAGGTAAATATACACACTACCTACGGATACATATTGTTTTACAAGGAACTTATCATAACTACTTTTTTTGAGCCAGTTTCCAAGCGAGGGGTCGATTTTTTAAAATCTGGAGTTGCTTGCCTTGTGTATTTTTAATGACCGTGGACCTCGGATTTGTCAACCGGCACATAAACTTGAATTCTGCTGATATTTCGTTTAAATAACGTCAGTCATGAGTGCTAAAACAAAAATCAACGTTTAAAAAATAATATCCTGGCCTCGAGTGCCTGTGATTTCAAGGTGTTCATCATCCTCGATACTCCTGGGGTTACGATCACTTTCATCTCTGCACCATTGGAACATGTCATGACAAGAAGGCACAAGCGAAGCAATTTGGTGTCAGCAGAAAAAAAGACCAATCACAAGCTGATACGCTCCTTTTGAAGATTTCAAAGGAGCGACAACTAACTTCGAAATCGTGTGATATCAAAGGATCTAACTAGTCCTTTCGTCCACAAGGTGTAGCACATTCAATTTAGTCCAGGGGTGCAGAGAGCGAAAGTTATCGTAACCACTGGTGTATTGAGATGGGTATTCATACCAATTTTGATTATATGTTCTGATAATACTACAAGAATTTGAACCAAAGGAGAAAACAACATTTACAGCATTCAGTACAGCCAGGAGTACGTAAATATACAATGACTAATATTTAATAGTGTGAAATACTTGAAGGCCGATCATCACGTAATCTTCATAGATTTTAGTTAATACGACACCATTATCTAGGTATGCCGCGTTACAACTTACTAAGTATCAGTATGTCATACTGGTGCAGTTTGATTATAAAATCGTATCACAATATATTCACCTTCAGCATTAATCGGTCATCGTATCGTTCAGGTACGAAATGTATGTTATTTATAATACTGTTTGAAGCTTCATCTTGACACAATTTTGGTCTTGACAGAAATTGATACTATCAACACGCATATCAATTCACGGAAGAATGCCTTGTACTATGAATTTTCTTCATAAGAGACTTTACCTCCTCGTATAAAGATACGTAAAAATGATTATTAAAACTACAAACAAAAGCACAAGGATTAAAATCGTGTAGAAACTGTATAGGAAGTACAAGACTGAAATGGTCGAGACAGTTAAGGTAAACAAAGTTTTTACATTGACTGATTTTTGTACTGCAAACAGGACCGAATGCCGGGTGACACCAAAATATTCTGCTCCCACATTCACATTGATAGTAAAATCCGGACATCGCACATAAGCGTGCAGAAAGACGGCTGCCAAAACATAAAGAAAATAGCATTAGGGCATGCCGATCCAATAAATTATCAATATACCAGGAAACTCGAAATGTATAGATATTATCTTGTTATAAGAAGTCTAAAATGAAGACATATGTACAAAAACATAACAACAAATGATGTGAATTTCTATTTATATATGCCGTTTAAAAATTGTAAAAATTCTACAAATGACACATATGCAAAAAATACGTTTCAATACAAATGAATTGTTATTAGTATAAACATAATACAATCGTTTCGTCCTTTCATGTCAGTAATGTTAAGGACTTGTAAAGGTTTAACAGTTTCTTTGAATTCTTATGAGTCGAACACAAAAATGAATGCAGGTTAAAAGTTTATGATATACAGACTTAATTCCCTCTCTCATAGTAAAGTACGTGTTGTGAATCGTAAGAGTTGTATTGGTATGATATTAAGGTTTATTTGTGTAATGCACTTGCTATTTGAGGAATTCCATTGCTTTTCAAAACAAAATAAGCAATGATCTATACTACACCACACAGCTGAACTTGTCAGTGATGCAAGGAACCTAAAGTGTCCAAATCTAGGCAGTTCGGCATTAGAATATTGTTAAAATTAAATGTTTATCCATAGAAATAACATAGCGGTATACTTACAACACATCGAGACAGGTATACCCCATAAATTCAGGTAAACAAGATACCATAGGGAGGTCGATTTATACAAAGCTGTTGAGAGTAAAGGTAGGACTCCAAGCAGTATCGTAATGGAGAGTGATGATTGCATTTGACTTGTGCAGCACAGGTATGCGATGATACAAACTATGCTTGCATTTAACATAAAACCAGTTTTTCCTCCGATGAAGTCATTAATTAAAATACTCCTGTAAAATAAAAACAATGTCGTGTGACGAAAAAAAAGGTATCGGGATAATCTTAAACGTATAGGCAAATAATTTTCTATCATAACAAAGAAGAGTTTTTTCAATATATGTTCCTTTTGATTTAGAATGTGACCTTCAGGAATGCGCAGTAGGATATAATAATTAGATGTACTCCATATATAGAAAAAGCAGTATCTATTTGATGATTTATCAAATGGAAAACATGCTCCTGCTGTACAAAATTAAGTTAACGATACATGTTTAATGGGTGAGTGTATAAAATGCTGAATATAAATATGATCCCTGTTCAATCCGCTATTTGTAATAACATGTCGCGCTTCAAGCAGAACGCTTTAAGTACCAGATATGCCTTGTCCTGGATATAGTACTATTATAATACTGTTTAGACTTATAATGATACAAGTGCTTTAGAAAATGTGAAAATTTCTTTGACTATCGACATATTTTAAAATTCTAAGAATTAAGACACGGTATATTTGTGTAAAGTCTATTTTCGTGTTGGTTTTATCGCTGATATGTACTAATCAACCCCCTTTTACTCTATCACCGCTATTTCAAACATCAAACGTTAACATAACATTTACCCGCATCGTATCATTGAAATATTTCCAATGGAAATTAAACAAATTATGCTCGTAAATATAGATTTCCTATATAAACTATAGTAAACGTTACCCCCTTTCCACAGGATATGTGAGACCCTGGGGCGTGAAATTCACAATTTTAGTAAAGTGCCTTAATATGCTTCCTTTCATGAAGAGCATTTGATTCCACCATATCTGTGTCTTGAGGAGAAGATTTTTGAAATCTGAGTCAATTTGACCCCTTTCAGCCCAATATTGCTCATATTGGTGAGGACCAGGCTAATATTAGTCATTTTTTGTCATAATGTTGAGGGCCTGGCTAATATGAGTCAGTTCTCTCATACTCGTTAGGGCCTGGCTAATATGAGTCAGTTCTCTCATATTGTTGATGGCTTGGCTAATATGAGTCAGTTTTCTTATATTGTTGATGGCTTGGCTAATATGAGTCAGTTCTCTTATATTGTTGATGGCTTGGCTAATATGAGTCAGTTTTCTCATATTGTTGAGGGCCTGGCTAATATGAGTCAGTTCTCTCATATTGTTGATGGCTTGGCTAATATGAGTCAGTTTTCTTATATTGTTGAGGGCCTGGCTAATATGAGTCAGTTCTCTCATATTGTTGATGGCTTGGCTAATATGAGTCAGTTTTCTTATATAGTTGAGAGCCTGGGTAATATGAGTCCATTTTTTTTTTTTTAGATTGTTAAGGGACTAACTTAAATGTCTAAGATTCTCTCCTATTGTTGTGAGCTTAGCTTGCATGTCTCAGATCTCTAATATTGGCGAGGGCCTAGCTGATATGTTTCAGCTTCTGTCATATATCTCTATATTTTGTGACACAACCTCGTGGAATTTTTACCGATAAAATATTATCAGACAGGGGCTATCCCAATTAATCACCTCCTCTCTGAATTGTAATCTGCGATCACTGAACATACCATATTATGTCTCAATAACATCTATTAATATAAACCTTTTTATTATATTTCGTTAAATATCGTATGCATTCTTATGCTTTCTATATTGAAATGTGATACATGACACCGGACTGGAATAAACATATTGTATCGTGTTGTATATTCCCCTAACAGCCACCTACATACATGTAGATATAAGGAAGTATATCAAGCCTCGTGTATTGGTCAACGTGAAAACGAAAGTAAGAAGATTGAGGAAATTTGGTTTATCCATATCTAAAATTTCGTGGAATTTCTGGTTTATCAATATTTTAAAGATGTTTTTTGAATTAGTATCATGATGAAAGATAATATCTGGATGATTAAACACGTTAATATAAGATAACCTCCAGTCATCCCACGATTAAGTGTATAAGAACGCTGAAAGCGTTCATTTTAGATACTTTCACTTCATATAATAAACATTTAAATGTATACTTACAAAATAGTCAAACATTGTGTTATCAGGAACATTAGAACATAGTTTGTCTGGAAATACACCAAGTTTTTCAAGATGTTTGTCTTCGATGTGGCTCTCTGATTTGCGTCAAATGGATTAGGCACGCAGAGTTTCGCTGGACTCAAAAAGAAATCTTCTCTCATAGGTGAAATAGTCGCCCCCATCTTGATACGATTGAATACCTGTAAATATTTTGTAAACATACATGTAATTCTTAAATATCCAGAGTTATTTTTCTCTTGAAAATAGGAAGTTTTATGAAGCAGTCTATATCCTTACCTGTAATTATCTCCTATTGTTCTACTTTTCACACCTAGTCTCACCTGGTCAACAAAATACCTTACCTGTATACCCCAAAAATCAAAATGTTGGCTAAGTGAGAAGACACCTAAATATTATACTACGTAGATTTTTATTTTAAGAATGGTTCTATTTTTAGAATTCCCTGAACACCAACTCTGCCTATGACAAGTTTCCATAGGAGGTCAGTTGTGATGATAGTGAGTCATATAGTCTGGTGCAGAATTGTTGTACAGGTAACTTGTACAGGTAAATCAGAAAATCAAGTTCTGATAACTGTTCAGAAAACTGTTAATAACTGTTAACTAAAGGAATCAAATATATTTATTAAAACTGTTCCAATCCCAAGCTGTTCAATAGGAAATGTCTCAGCACATTTTGGAGAATTATCATATTACAATCTACGCTTTGAAGCATCAATTTCTCATTGCTTGATTTATTACTTAACTTTTGTCATATACATTAGTTAATCTCGTACTTTTTTTTTCCAGTTTAGTGTAAAGTGTGTTAAATTTGAGTGATATTTTTATTTGTGTGGTTTGATAAAAGTACAGGATGACTAAAGCTCAAATCAACGATAAGTTCGCATAATGGATTCATCTACAGGCAGATTCGAAGGAACGACAACAGGACATTCATACCAGCTAACTCTGGAAGAAATCCACACGACCACGCCTCAGACCCAGTCAGTGTTGTAGCAAAACAGAGGGACATCGGACCATCTTGAATACCTGATGACCTATGTTGTTTTGTGTTTTCTAGTAGAGACTTATCTAGTACTTGACTATCAAAGGTTGCAAAAGGACATAATATCTGAATAAAGTGGATAATGTATTGCCATAGATAAACGAGTCAGTGCTAATTCAGCTTTATTTAGGGGTTTACTTTTAAATAATAGTTTATTTTAGTGCTATAATGTGCATATTGATTCACTATTATATGTATAAATATAAATTCAATTTAATTGCTTACATCAGTATATCAATGTGACTAGATGAATTTTATTTATTAATTAAACATAATCTTACATGATAATTATTAAATAATGAAAGATGATAATGAATATTGATATTTAATAACTATTTTGTAATACTTTTATATGCTAAAAATTGAGTTACAACTAATTAAGACAAATAGAAACTATATCTAGTTCCTTATTGATATGTAAGTATCCAGTTTACAAAATAAGTTGACATTCATAGTTGAAACAGACTTTAACTTTAGCTTCAAAGGATTCCCTATATAAACACCTTCCTTTCAAGTTGGCAGAGTTGGTGTTCTGTTAATGAGCCGTCTGTTTATCCCACATAGGTGACATTTTTTACAATCAAACGAGGTGTAATATTTTTTGACGATAAATGTTACATAATCTGCTTAAAATGTAGATCCAAATTCTCGCTCCATTTCTCTCCGAAAAAGGTGCGACAGCGCCCAATAAGGATACGTTCTAGTGAATGGACAACTCACAATTTCGCCTGCAACAAGTCATTTCGTCACAATATGTGGTCTTGATTATAATTTAGATCCTTCTTCTCATTCCACTTAAGAATGAGATATAGGATAAACACTGAAATCAGACTGGCATGTAAATATACTCTAAGTGTTGTCGACATATTGTGACGAAATGACGTGTGCAAAAATAAGATTATGCAAGCTTTTTCGCCAATATTCGTTCAAGTTTAATATTCGGTAATAGGTATTTTGAACGACTAATGCAAAAGTTCACCAGAACACGACTCCTTATGAAATATTGGATGTTGTCAGAGAGTAATGGATGAGAATTAAGATGTGCATATAAACCAGAATATTACTACATATAATGTCACTGTACCAATCTTGGAACAGTATCACAATGGGACTTTATTTATTCGGTGTATCATTTAAACTTAGAAAAACGGGTGAATAATAGTTTAAAAATTGAATAACTTTGTAAGCAAATAAATTAATTTCACATACCTAACATTAAAAACGAAATGTAAAATGTATACAATAATTGTGGGACTTACTTTACGATGATTTTTTGAACAGATCAGTGACATTAAATATTACTAAGGCATAAAACAATTTTAAAATTAAGAAAAATATGTGAAATTATTGTCAGCTATTTTGATATAGAAGCTTATATAAGGTGCTCTATTTAGGTACTGTCGTCAGCTCAGAAATGGTTGTGTGAGATAAACACGGTTATCTCTAAAAACGTTCAGAATTACATAACAAGTATTGATGTAACATATACATATTATAAAATGATGATGATTTTTTAAAGTGTCCCAATGAGGGTCCTGTGTTTTTTCAGGCATATGTTTTCACAAAACAGAAAACTTGTCAAAACAATAATTGACTGTACGATTCAGTGATTAACCTGCTGGCAACTGATATTTAGTGAAAACATCAGATTGTTACTAAAGAAGTTTGGCGAGAAGGCAAAACATCGTTCTGATAGGATAAGGAAAACAAACAAAGAAAGTGGTAAAAAGAATCACTAACCATGAACAAGTACCAGGAGAATAGGATCACTAACCATGAACAAGTACCAGGAGAATAGGATCACTAACCATGAACAAGTACCAGGAGAATAGGATCACTAACCATGAACAAGTACCAGGAGAATAGGATCACTAACCATGAACAAGTACCAGGAGAATAGGATCACTAACCATGAACAAGTACCAGGAGAAAAGGAGCACTTGTTCCGGAGGAGTAAATCTCTTTTGTCTCATCGACGACACCTGCTATGTAATTATTTTTTTTCAAATGATAACATGATAAACATCAACAGATAATACTAGCAAGCAAACAAACACATCCAACTTCATATCACATATAGAAACAGAAGGTTTCGCTATGAGTTCGTTACGAACTGTAAAACTTCCTCTCCATTTTTATCAATCAGTTATCTTGAATTAATTATTCTATCCGAGGGTCTCACTAGAAATGTGAATATTGGTACAAGTGATTTATAGCAAAGTGTCTGTCTAAAGCAAGAAGGAAAATATAGAGGAAGAAAAGGGTCAGTATTATTGAATCGATAAATGACAATATCTTATGTTAAGATCTTATATGTATAAAACCTATCAGCATATCCGCCAATCTGTATGAAAACCATTTCTAGATAATAACCCTCTTGCTTCCCCAACCTCTACCATTTACATGTATGACGCAGCTAATTCAATATCCAAGAGCTTGTGCCAGATATTATGATTTGTGTGCAAGATAAGTCCAAAGTTGACAGATAAACTCATGATCACATCACAGCTAGGGATTCGAGCGAGTTCGTGCCACAGAAACACACGATCCATATACTTTTATATATGAAAATAACATTAGCGTTCCGTCATTAATTCCGACATTAATTCAGACATACTGTGCATGTGTGTTATATGTGCTATAGCTGCACGTGTAGCATTTGCATTGTCGCCTGTACCAGCTGTTTGACGAGTGTTTTGAAATGTGTGAGTGTGTTCTGAAGGGTTCTGGTAGGACATTGCATATTTTTGGTACTTGTGACCAAGAAGATTGTTTTCCGAATGCCCTATGGTCCTACCATATGTGGTATGTCTGCTGTGTTGTGGTATGTGAAGGCTACGTATGGAGAAGTTTTCATCTTGGTAGCAACCAATGCTTGCTTTCATTGGGAAATATTCTATCTCATTTTGTGATGTGCTGTATCGAGTTACTGGGTAAGTAGACTACTGTATACAACGTGATTTCGTTGCTGTATATCACCAACTTGACTAGGCCTGACCGCATCAACAATTTAATCCTTTTCTCTTCATGTAAACATTTATTTCCATCTTGATTTTTCTATATGTTGACATTCTATCGATTTTCAACTTGATTTAAGATTCTAACATTAACATGTCGATATTGTATTTATATGTAGCCCAGAAAATATGTGTTTGGGGTATTAATCTTACATCACACCGGTAGCAGGAAGCATCAAGGTAAATATTGTGTTACAGTAACGATTCCATGTGTCAAAAACTAATTTATACGTTCATTGTAAACATATATCCACGTGAAATTTATTAATACATTATTAGACACTTATATCAGCAGCTGCGGTTAACATATCCGTTATTTTGTTCCTGTGAAATCATTGTAGTTTCCTACTTTCGTTTTGCATGTATATTATAAGAGTTACAGTACAGTAGGTCGAAATCAACATGGACAACGTAAAAGTTTGTTGTATTTGTCAATGTCTCTGTGACCACGGGTACTAGCCTTTTATCTGTCAATGAATTCAATATGGCTTAGGAAAATATTATTGATAAAGAGCCAAGTATTACAAGTGATGAGCTAAGTCTAATTTATTGTCAAATTACAAGTGCCATCCTCGCCAGTCGATACACTCCTTCTAAAACAAGTTTTATTATATGTGTATTGACAGATGAGGCAAGAGCCTATGGTTTAATTCAACAAGTTTATGATAAGAATATCGTCAAACGAGAGAGATACACTCGTTAAAACCATCAAACCAAATGATATTACTGAATATGTGGAAGCACTAATCTTAAGTAATTGAAGCCTCAAAGCGAATTTCTTACTTTACAGTGTATACACAAGTACATGTGATATCAGGGACGTATGTTGAGTAATTTTCTGATGGACTCCTGTAAATTTTGTGATACGCCACTTATTAGTGTTATTTTTGTTAGGAAAATGAGCTTCACTTCTCACTATATGACAAAATGGCTCTGATCAGGCCAGTCAAAGCAAAGTCTAAACTAATATACCATAGCAACACAGGTAACTAACATTAGAAAACAAAGAGTAGAAAGAGAAGACTTCATGGCTCAGTGACACTCCCTCTGTATTTTACATCCCTAGTAAGACAAGTCTTAGATATTGATATCTGTATCGAAGTGGCATTATTTTGACATTATCTTGATTTGTTCGATATATTCTTAATTAGCCATGTTGGCTTAAAACTACATTTGGTGTTGTAGATGAGTTTACCCCTGGAAGCAAAGAAACTACACGCAGAACTTATCAATGAACTCAGTGGACACTTGCATCCAAGTTTGGAACTGGAATATGACAAGTTTTTAAACTCCCTTTCAGTTTACCTCAGTCCTGTTGAGAGACATAAAACTGCAAGCCTCTTTCAAGTGTTAGAAAATCTAACAAGAAAGGGAAAATTTGGTGTGGGCAATTACAGTGTACTGAAGTCACTTACGACTAATCCAGAAATTTTATCAGTTATACATAAATTTGAGCAAAAAATCTATGAAATTCTACATCCAGATATGTCCAAAAGTGTCAATGAAACAGACAATCCAGCTGGTAAGTATAATTATACTGATCTGTACTGTTGTAAGCCAAGGCATCTTGGGTGCCTCATTTACATTTGTGCACTCTACGTAAAAAAAATGTATTAAAGAGGACCACAAGGTGTTTAGTTTCAGCTATAAATGTATCTTTTTTTGTAATTATGGCTGCTGGCACAGAAAGCCGCTCTAGTTGTCAGTTAGTCAGCTTATAAAAAAACCTCTGATGAAGAACCAAGGCATGTGGTTCAGTGCTCCTATTCTGGGTGTGTCAGTGAACAAGACACTTTGCCCTTATTGCTCAGGATGAGGTAAGAGCCACTTACAACTATACGGAGACCCCACCTCAAAATTACCCTGGCAGTTCACGGGGCTATAAATCCAACAAAATTTTGACAAAGTCTGCACATTGGTGTTATTTCTATGTATTGTTTAAAAATTTATTACAATGTATGTGATGCCAGATATGGAAGTAGATACAAAATCATACCTGAAGCCATCTATGAAATTATCTAGTCATTGTGACATGTATTATTGTTAAATCTGTCACTCGGTTGACAAAGCCAAAACATTTTTTTTTAAATGCTCATGTACCAACCAAAGGATTACCTGGATAATTGTCAAGACTTATCTCTCTTCCACTACATTTCCTGCTTTGTCCCATTTCTCTGCCCTTAGGTCAGACCCTTTACACAAAATTAAGCACCTTTAAATCAAGATCCACTAGACTGAAATTTCACAAAAGCCTCTTCACCAAAACACGTTTTTTTTCTCTCTTTAAATTGGCAACAATCTTTACCTTTTCACAGCTGCAGATTTGAGTCAGGCCATATTGATTTATTTCAAGTTCCAGTTTTGCTTTGAAAATTCTTGTTTATTTCTCAATGACAAGTTTAAATTTTTCACTAACTACTGACTAATTTTAACCCAAGCTTTTGAGCGACCGGGATCAGTTCTGTGTTCATTCTATTATTCTAATCTATCCATTTCAGACAGACTTCAACTGACAGAGCAGGACCTTCAGCGTCTGGCCCCATGCTTTGGCAATGGTTGGCAGATGTTTGTTGGGCAGCTGGGAGTTGATAGTGCCACAGTGGAGCAGAAGCAGATGGAAAATTCTACTCATGTTCCTAGCCAAGTGTTCCACTGTCTACTTGTTTGGTACAGGCGGTGTCCCAAAGAAGCTACCATCACAAAGTTTGACCACATTTTACACAATAGTCTTGACATGTGCACAATTAACATGGACAAATATGAAAGTTTGAAAAAAGAAATAGAGAATGGACAAAGATAGAACCACTTTAAAAATTATGTAGAAAATTGTACAAAGTCAGGTTGGCTGGTGGAAATATATTCTGTAAGTCCATTACAATACACACACCCTTCCATAGCAAAGTAAAATGAAGGAGTGATTTCCAAGTTCACTGGCAGCAGCCATTGCTTAATAATTGTATATTTTCAAGGGAAGGGATGCCAATGAAGATGTGTGGAGAACAGCATAAGATGAAAACATTAGCTAACGATTAATCATGACTAATGAGATAAATATGTGTACCTGTAGATTAAATAATAACTGTCAAATTGGAATGCCACGAAGAAAGTATAACTTCATATCTTTGAAAACCTGTTTATTTTAGGAATCTTGGTGCCCATCACTGTTTGATCTCTCCCTCCATCCCCCTCCCCCAACTTTTTTTTGGCACTTCATCATCAGATGGTGGACTATTAAAGATGGCCTATATTTGTAATCTGTCCATCTGTAAACAATTCTTATCACTATTTCTTGAGAAATACCCGATAGCTCAATCAAAGCCTTTATATGTAGGTTTCCCTTGGTCTGTAGTTAAGCCCTTTTGATTCTAAAAATGAGTCAAAAAAAAAAAAAAAAAAAAATGACTGAAAGGCAGTTACCTTGAATTTTGACAAGGAAAGTTAGTTATTGCTTTGTCTTGGTAAAATCTTGATGGATGTTTCTCAAATTAAATATGTAGGACCCCCTTGGTCAGTCGTGCCCATCTGATTTTGGGACTGATAAGAAAAACCTGAGACTAAAAGCATGGGCCTATACCTATAAACATAAAAAGGTGTAAATACCAAAACACTTGGTGACAAAAAAAAAACACTGAATTTTGTTTCAATGATTTGTTTTATTATTAAAGAGTTTTGCTTTCATGTTTAGACTCTACACATATGAAAAGTTGTCATTTCAATCAGACACATTTCTATCAAAAGTAAGCAAACAAGTCTGAAGATGTTCCAATGCTTCATTAGCTGGGATAAATTCCCTCCCCCATGTAAGTAACCACCAGTCTACTGGCAAAGAGATGTTAATGCTGTTGGGTACGGTATGACCAACATTTAAATAAAGTTAGAGAAAAAATGGTCTCTAAATTCCATTCCCCCTTGCCAACTCCTTCACAAGTTCTTGAATAAATAATAAGAGAGATGGCAAGTTCTTATCAACTAGATTTGTTAGAATAATGTGTTACTTTATGTATTTACATTGTTATTCATATTCAACATGCCAAATCAAAACTAGGAAAAAATAATTGAATGTTGAAACATGCACCACTGTTTTTCTCTGTAGGCTCCATGTCTGATGACGAGTATAGTATAATTCAAACTGGATCCTAAAATTAGATATGTAAAAGAATATAAAAAAACACTTCTCATACAGGTTCAATTAATAAGCTTTGAAAAGATAATCATTTTTGAAATAAGGTAATAAAATGTCAAATGGGTAAACTTGGAACTTGCCATGGTGCAATATACATAGAAGTATTGCACAGTAAATCAAAAATACATGTACATGGAGTAAAATGAAACGATGAATTGTATGAATTTGGGACAAATCAATGGATGATTCATCATTCAGTTACGATCAAAAAGCAGTTCACACAAGTAGAAGCTGAATTTAAATAAGTTTGTCATGAAATATTGTGCAAAATAAAGCAAAATAAATATGTGCTTTCACATTTTGAACAAAGCAAACTTTACAATGAATTTGCATATATCATTACTTGTACCATTTTGAGATCACCTCTATTTTCTTTCCGAACCTCAGCAATATTCAATTGGTGAATGCTATGTGTTAAACATTCTTTTAATACTACTGTACTCCATGCAATACTCTGTAACTGCAAAGAATTAAAATGAAGCTTTCTGAAGGCAAAAAAGCTATACAAGATCAGTTCTACTTATAAACCGAGGCATTTGTTTTGGCAAGTGTAATAGTGACAAAAAAACAGGAAAATTACAAGGCAAACTTGACCAGTGAGAAGAAACGACCTAGTTTCTATAGGGAAGTACAATTTGAACAGTGAGAAGAAACGACCTAGTTTCTATAGGGATGTACCATTTGAACAGTGAGAAGAAACGACCTAGTTTCTATAGGGAAGTACAATTTGAACAGTGAGAAGAAACGACCTAGTTTCTATAGGGATGTACCATTTGAACAGTGAGAAGAAACGACCTAGTTTCTATAGGGAAGTACAATTTGAACAGTGAGAAGAAACGACCTAGTTTCTATAGGGATGTACCATTTGAACAGTGAGAAGAAACGACCTAGTTTCTATAGGGATGTACCATTTGAACAGTGAGAAGAAACGACCTAGTTTCTATAGGGAAGTACAATTTGAACAGTGAGAAGAAACGACCTAGTTTCTATAGGGAAGTACAATTTGAACAGTGAGAAGAAACGACCTAGTTTCTATAGGGATGTACCATTTGAACAGTGAGAAGAAACGACCTAGTTTCTATAGGGAAGTACAATTTGAACAGTGAGAAGAAACAACCTAGTTTCTATAGGGAAGTACCATATCAACTTTTAAATATCATGCATGTTGAATATGGCACAATCAATTCATTAATCAGCACTTTTAGAAATTTCTCAGAGATTCCTTGTTGAAAATCTTTGTGAAACGAAAATTCTGCTAGAAGATTCAACCCTATTCACTTCAAGCTATTAAAATCTTTCTTGAAACTTGGATTTGACAACTGGCAAACACTGAAGTGGTATGTCCTGTTTTCTTACCCAATGAAATGGGTTTTTCCTGAATATTTCAGATTAACAACTCGTCATCTACAGCTGAAGGATGTCATTCTTGCATAAATTCCCCTCCCAATAGATCAGTATCACAGAATTGTAAGGAACAGCTTTTTCTTCTAAAATCATCATCAAATCATTTCCAGGACCATCCCAGTAAGTAATAATGTAACTGAACCAAGACAAGTTTAACAACTTATTTTTCAAATACTGTGGGTTCCATCAACAATATAAAAGGAACATGATTGGACACTAATAAAATCCCAATAATTAATTAACCAAATTTAACTCTCCATCAACAAATTTCAAAGAATGGACAGTATTTGTTAGATTTGGTTTACAAGAACAATTAGCTGGAAAAAAATGACAGCACTTTTCATATACTCAAACCTTTAAAAAAATATTTCTCAAAAACAGCAATTGTTCTTTTTATCTGCTTTTTCTGTTTCAACTCAAATCTATCAAGGAGACAATGTAAAAATTAAGTAATGAATTATGTATTTAGGTAATTTCAGAACTCAACCTGCATATACATATAAGCAGTAAGGGACATTTTTCTTCCAGACCTGCATGGTATAGCTGTTGAAATACCCAGGAGTACTTTAACACTTACTCCCAAAATATTACTTGGTCAGTTTGAATTTTAATATATAGTTGATTTGCCTCTTTAATAAGAACTAAAAATTTGCAATTTTAATTCTTTAAAGATTAGATTTAGCAACAACTTTCTCACATGGGGCATTTGTAACAGATGGAACCCACAGAACACGGTGTAAACATGTGATTTGTAAACTAGGGTTTACAAAGTTTACAAACAATAATAGCTAAATGTCTTGGGGATCTTGGTTGTACACTGTCATTCCACATGAATCTATCTTGTTGGCAAGGGACCAATGAGTTTATAAAAATAAGGCTTTTTAAACTGGTTGCCAAGCAAGAAATATGAGCACATTATGAATATATGGGTGTTATATAAAGTCTTCATCATAGAGGTCATCATAATGTCCTGATGATGCAGCAGCTAGATCTCCGAAATCTCCATCTCTCTCCGACTTTATCGTAACTTTCATTTTCTTCTTTTCTTTCTTTTTTAATTCCTACAAATGATAAAAATAAATTTGAAATATAGAACCATATCTTTATTCACCTAAGGCTTACATGTCTAGTCTACTGAAAATAAAAATGAATGTAACAGAAACTCCTGTTTAACACTTGCTTACTCCGATAAGCTGGGGTTGGTAGCACACAGGAACACAAATAACATGTGAACAGGCAAGGCACCCAAAACCTTCAGAAGTCTGTAAAAGACAGTCTTCATCAAGCAATGATGTGAAATAATGGGATACTCTTAATATTTTGTAAATTTAAACCCCACATAGACATTTACTTATAGAAAATGGGCAACATAAGAGGTTTTGTTTTTTTGTTTGCTTTCATAAATCCATATAAGGAAAAATCAATAAGAAGCCCAATGGTCCTGCCACGCTTATCTGGTATATAAATACCAGTTAAATATCATGCCTCTAGGCCTTTCAGTTCATGATAAGAAGTCATTTAAATGCTTTCAAAAATTTTACCCCCTAGACCTTGAATATAGGTCAAGGTCATTTCTTTTTCCGAACTTTGTCGCGCTTCATCCTAGGTACATACCAGCCAAATATCAAACACATTGCTCACCTAGTGAAAAAACTAATGCCTTTAATAGTTTTTTTCAGTGAACAAACTTTGTTGACGAAGATAATGCAACACTTCCTTGTGAAACAGTACCACCATATTCTTTACAAAATTTATATATCTCACCTAGAGATGTAGAAGAGTAATCAATACAAATAAAGCTTGCAGTCAAGATTTGGTTAGTCCAAAGTTACTTAAAGAAGCAGGTCATGAGTTATAAATACCATTGTCTTGTTTGTTTAATGCATCACTGTCTTAGAAAATATTTCCATCAGCCTGGAAGATTGCCAATGTGATTCGAGTTTATAAAAAGGGAGATAAATCACTGGTTTCAAATTCTCGACCTATTTCACTCATTAGTTGTATTGGGAAAGTATTTGAAAAGTGTGTTTTCAAACATTTGTATGATTTCCTACATTCGAATGAATGTATTACTTCTTACCAGTCTGGTTTTACTCCGAATGACTCGTCTGTTTTTCAATTAACCGATATAATAAATGTTTTCTACCAGGCTGTTGATAGTGGAAAAGAGGTTCGTGTTGTATTCTGTGACATAAGTAAAGCCTTTGACAGAGTGTGGCACAAGAGTTTGCTGTTTAAGCTTAAACAAAATGGAATATCTCGTAATCTTTTAGAATGGTTCCGGAGCTACCTACAAGATCTAAGCCAGCAGGTAATTATTGAAGGAAGTTCTTCAACTACTAAGGAGTTACATACTGGGGTTCCAAAGGGCTAAATATTAGGTCCACTTCTTTTTATTGATTTTATAAATGACATAATAAATGATATTGATGCTCATATTCGGCTTTTTGCAGATGATACATCACTTTTCATGATCGTTGAAAATCCTGAGAGTGCAGGGACTATTTTAAATTCTGACCTAAACTAAATTAGTACCTGGGCCAAGCAGTGGTTAGTTAATTTCAACCCCAACAAAACTGAAAGTATGGTCCTTACTAAAAAGAGAACTGCTACAGCTCATCCTCCCTTATTTATGAATAATACCCAAATACAAGAAGTCCAGCAACATACACATCTAGGTGTAACTATAGATGGAAATTGTTCTTGGCATGCCCACATTACTAATATCCTTGCTAAGGCATGGAAAAGGCTAGATATTCTTAGAGGGTTAAGGTTTAAGTTAGATGGGAAATCTCTAGAAATTATGTATTTTTGTTACATACGTCCCATCTTGGAATATGCTGATATAATCTGGGGTAACTGTACCCAACAAGATTGCCAAGAACTTGAGAAACTTCTTACTGAAGCTGGCAGAATCCTGGCTGGAGCAACCAAATCTGCTTCATCCAATTCCATTATGCTTGAAACAGGATGGGAAACTTTGGCACATAGGCGTTACAAGCATAGAATGTTAACTTCATACAAAATATTTCATGGTGCTGCACCATTATACTTACAAAATTTGCTTCCTCCTATGATAGGAAATGCCCAAAATTATAATGTAAGGACCAATTCAAATATGCATCCGCCAGCAAGTAGGACAAATATCTATATGAAGTCTTTTTTTACCTACTGCTATTAGGGAATGGAATGGCATACCAAATAACATAAGAAACTCTCCAACTTTAAACACTTTCAAAAAACACCTTGATAAACAAATTATTAAACCTCTATACTATTTTGTTGGTGAACGCTGGGCTCAGGTACTGCACACACGTCTTCGTCTTGGATGTAGCTCTCTTATTATCTGATGCAGTGTGTACACTATAATCGAGCTAGAGAAAATACCCTGGATACATTAAATTTCAATTTATCACTGGAATTACTCATTCATGGTGACCAAAACCTGTCTCAAAATGATAATATCATCATATTTGAAAAGGTACAAAGGTACATCGTAGAGTCGGGTAGATTCTAGGTGCCGGATGGAGTTTCTTTGTGCTCTCTTTAACTCTTCCTTTCTTCTATCTTACCAACTTATGTTATCTACGAATGGTTTACATATTAACGGTCAGTGTTCATCAGTAAATGTTAAGTTAAAAAAAAAAATCTTTCAATGTGTTTAAGTAAATTGTACTATTGTAACTGTTTTATATTGGAGATGGCTTAATATAAAATTTCTTATCTTGTTACCAGATCCATTTTCAATTTTATAATTTGTGTATGTGTATGTTGTAAATGAAAATCTATAAATAAAATATTGTTTCAACAAAATATCAAACTTTTAGGCATTTTAGATCATGAAAAGAAGTCCTTTAAATGGTTTAACAAATTTGATCCCTGTAACCCTGAATATAAGTCAGTGTCATTTCTTTTTGCAAATTTTGTCAGGTTTCATCCTAAAAAACATACCAGCCAAAGATCAAAACATTTGGTCTATTGGTTATTGAGAAGAAGTTGTTAAAATGAAAAAGTTGCCGTAGCACGACATAAGCTCACTTGGCCCTTTGGGTCAGGTTAGTTAAAAATGACTAAATAAGGTTCAGTAACAATGAGCAATACATACTTTTTGTTGTTTCAATTTCTCTTGATAAATAGTTGTTATACAGCTTCCCACCTTTTTCACATCTTCTGTTTCAACTGAAAATATCAAATTGACAAACTAGTTTTGAAGGCACAGTAGGAAAACAAAATGTGTACCTTATCAAATACAGGTAGCTAGCTTATCAACATAGGTGCAAACATGAAGAAAGATTTGTTAAAGCCATGTACAAAACAGATAGTACACTATAAAACAATTTACATACAATATGGCCATCTTGATAAAAAAAAAAAAAAAAAATTGTTACATATACCAACAATGTCATTCCCACACTTTTATGGAATTCAACAGAATTTAATTTATTTTTGGTTATTATTTGGTTTCAAATGTAAGAAATCTAACTACACGACAGTTAAATTCTTGAGTAGTTGAACTTGCAAGTTCTTCAGACCAATTTAGATATCTAATTAACTTCTTGTCTTGACAAAAGTCGAGCAATATAAGCATTGTATATACTTACGTGTGACTACTATATCTGTAAATAACTTTTCTATAAAGGAAACATAATGTTTGGATTTCTGGAAGAGAAAGAAATGATATATTAGTACCAATTTACATTGCTCCTATAAAATTTTTCACACAATATCTGATAATTGTTTCATACTTCATATTGATAACTGACAAGAACAAATTAACTTACATCAAAGTATGTAATTTTATTTTTCAACGCCTCTTCAAATTCTTTATATTCTTCTTCTGTTTCTGGAAACATGGCATCTATACCAGTAATGTCACTTGTACCTGTAACAGAAAATTCACACCATCTCAAAAGTTTCAGATTAGAAAATGAAACACTATTCTAGAAAGCTTTCATACAGTCTTTTTTCACTATTAAACAGTCATGGTTAATTACTATGCTAATGTTGTGCACTTCATGTACCTGCAGAGATAAATTCACCCTGCATACAGACAAGTGCTTCAAATTTATATTAAAATTGAAGTTTCCACAGAACATCCAAACTAAAGACTATCCGAACAGGCAACAGAGGGAGACAGATCAAATGAAATCTAATTTCTATCAATGGTATCTTTTTATTTCAGAATTGAATTCAATGTTATGTTTCAATGAAAAAAAAAAAAGAAATGAACAAACCCTTCAACAGACAAATCCATGTGGAGCAATACTAAACAAACCCTACATCAAACAAGTTCATGTCCTTTGCTCCCCATGAAAATTTTTAAAAGTTGACGAATATGGTGATGTTTGTGAACTTGTGAGTAAAGTATCATGGCAATTAACTGGGAAATGAAATGCAGCCTATAGCAGTGATGTCAAATTTTTTTTTGTCAATTTCTATCTACAGTAACAAAGACCTAATTTACGACTGAAGATTGAAATGCCAACTCCTACAAATGGTGATGTTTGTGAACATATGTGCAAAGTTACCATGTCAATCAGAAAGAAATGCAGCCTGTTGAGCAGTGAAAATTGCATCAATCTCTAGAAATAGTAATGATGACCTTGTTTTTGACCAAAGAAAGTTGAAACATGAACTTGTGAAACAGCAGATGTTTGAGAACACACATGTGAAGTATCTCCACCACTTGCATTTTACAGTCAGTAGAGTGATGTTGTTTGGTACATGCATGAAATTAACGCACAAGCAGATTCCTATATATACCCTTGATGACTTTTGTAAGGAAGGTAAAACAACAGGTGAGCATCTGCTAGGCATAGTCTAACAAAGAATTGAATACTTCATCATCAGAAAATGTAACTAGTTTTTATAGGCAGTTTTTCCTTAAAATTCACAGTAAATATCGGGATAAGGACTAAACTCTGTATGTACCAAATGCTTCTTTTGCTAGTTTTAGGTCCGATTCCTCTTGGAGTTTCCTCTGTCGTAATTTTTCTGAAAGCTCCTCTTCAGGTGTTAGAACTCTCTGTTCCTCTTCCTGTAGAAACAAATAAAAAAAAAAAAAAAAAACAAAGGGTTTGCTTTAATAAACAACTTCAAAAGACATAATCATTCATGTACATTTTGGCAAACATTCCAGCTTACAAGCAAGCTGAATTACAGAAATGGTGGCCAAAATTTAAACAAGATCCTTGAGGGATCATGGCGCCAACTACTGTTTGATCTTTATATGCTCTTTGAAAGCTTGATCTTTCTTTTCTCTTTTTGCTCTTAATGATAAGACATTTGAACATTCCTTTGCAGAAATAGCGATGATAATTTTTACCTGCCAAATCCAAACTGGCCACCTGAAAGCTGTTTTGTTTCTTCTGATCAGTCCAAAAATCAAACGATTACAAGGAGAGACCAAAGGGAACATACATATGAAATTTGAGAGATATCCATTCAGTACTTCTTTAGAAATAGCAATAACAATCTTTACTAGGCAAAATCCAAGATGGGTGCCTGTCGGCCATTTTGTTTTTTTGATCAGTCCTAAACTCAAAGAGGCACAAGGGACGTAAAGGAACCTATACTTTAGAAATATCAGGCCAATGAAAAGTGAATTCAGAGACCACTTTTGACAAATATCTAAGGATGAATAGCTAAAAAAGTATGTTAAGAGTAGGGATGTCAATTTGACAAAAATTATTATTCAATATTTCATTACTGAAATATTTTGTTTTCACGTCAATTTCATATGGTAAGCAACTTTCACTTGAAGTGTGTAGCAGTCACACACCAGGACTACTGTACTGACCATGTTTTACCAATAAAATACAGAACAGTACCTACGGTGACTCAGCAATGTAAACATGTTGAACATAAGACATAACTAGTTATACTGAAAATACTAGTTATGAGAAATGAGGGCAATTTCTAGGCATGCGAGATTGACAAAAATGTGAAAATAGCAGGAAACTAGAACAATGACAGATCAGCAAGCACCCCCTCCCCACCAACCCTTAGACACATAAACCCCAGAAGGAAAAAGTATGATTTCTTTAATTGGCCAAACATTTTTTATTGCAGGGAAACTGATTTTTTTTATTATAAGTAACAGTGACCTTGACCTTTGACCTTCAAGACCGTTTAGCAATCCTAAGCAAACACTTTCAGTAAGGAATTACTGTAAGAAGTTTGGGTTAGATTGGCCAAAGCAAACTCTAGTGTTCACATGAAAACTTATTTTCTATTCATAGCAAGTGACTTTGACATTTGAAACTGAAAAACAACCCCATGCCAGCACTTTCAATAAAGAAGCACTTATGAAGTTTGAGCTTGATCGGCCCTTGGAAACTCAAGTTGTTGAACAGAAACAAAAGTGCTGTTGGACGGACAGACAGACTGATAAATGGACGGACACCGTGATTGCTATAGGGCCCTAAATATGTCACAGGAAATGGTAAGATATGAAGACACAAATATGGACTCTCATATTTCAAAACTTGGTAAAAAGTTGTTAAAACATATGACCTTTTTCAATATAACAATTGTAATAGTACTTCTTAGCATAAATTATTTCACTATTCATTATTTACAAAAATTGTTAAATCTGATTCTTTGAAATTGGCAAAGAATTTCTCTCATTAACATGTTCATCACTATGCTCATTGTCAACATAGCAATTAAAATGTCTGCGGGAAGACAATATCTGACATCCGATTTTACCATCCAAAAACATTGAACAGAATATTCGTAGACATCCCTAGTTTATAGTAAATGTGACATCTAGCACTTACTTGGGGAATACAGAAAAGACAGTGATGTATGGGTACCACAGATATATATCAAGAACCATTGAAAAGACATGCGGTGGTGAAAAGAGCTACAATTCTCACTTCCAACTAAATCAGATAATGTATCAATCTCTGATTGAGTTGGATGACACATAATTAACTTCTCTGCAAATGACAGGATATTCATGAAATTCAAGAGGATGACAAGACCTAATTATAAAGGAAATATGCAAAAATCTGTGACAATCCAATGCTTATCCAGGGCTCTCGATCTGCCAGATTTTGGGCCGAATTCCCAATGCAAAATAGTATCTTTTTTCCCAATTTAGATCCGAAGTTTTCCCTATTCTATGGAAAACACCAATATTTTTCCCAATTCTAAGGGCCCCGGGCCCCAGTCACAAAATGGGGTGTGACAGCCCTGTGATCGTTTTCACCTTGGGAAATATCTTTCCCTACATCAAGCTTTTGTCCATGATTTTCAACTGGTTCTATATGTTCACTGCCACACCCAATTATGGCTCTAGTTTAATACAAAGAAGGCCCTGAACCCAATTTTTTAAATTTTATTTCATAACCGTTGATAGGAAAAACAACATCCAAGTCACTTTTAAGCGTGACTGACTGCAAGACAACTTTAGTTATTGTGAAGCACCATTCATGTTCTTAATATACCTATATGATACTTCCCAATAACAAATTGTAAAGATTGTTAAAGATAGTTCATGAGAAGTACTCTTTTTTTTTTGTTTCACTGATGGAATAAATTGCGACGTCATGATTTCTTAGAAAAAATACACATCCCCTTTCCTTCAAATTTTTGGTAAAATTATGACAATTTGAATCGCCAAAATAAGCAAACATTTACATTTAATTTTTGTACCTGTGCTTTTATCTTTGCTGCTTGTTTTTCTGCAATTCTATCAGCTAATTTCTTTTTCTTTCGTTGAAAAGCTTTGGTTTCTGATGCCTTTGGATCTGCAGATTCTAAGATTGATAAAGAAAAGATAAACAATGAAATTCAGTATACTACAAGCTCCATGAGGACTAAATAAAGCACTTTTTAGCAATGAGGTAAGCCTCCTTTCCTTTTTTTTTTTTGTTTGGCAAGGGAGGGAAAGCTGATTTTTTAAGATTTACAGCTATCTATGTAGATGCATTAAGACTACAGACGATATTGGTCCCATTTTTTTTACAATATATCTAACTAGTCTTAAATTTGTTTTTAAGAAAATAATTTTTTCTTTAATATTTTTCAATAGGTTCTATCATTAAAGATACCCTCACCTTTTTTCTCCTCTTCTTCATCTTCCCAGCTATCCTGTAATAAGACATCATCAGTATAAATAATAGGAGAATTTACAATATTTCATCTTATACCTTCTTTTATACAAATCATGCAAGATTCCATATTAAATCTGGATTATATCAGGCAACAATACCTGTACTCTTCAAATGTAACTGAAAGGGTGCAGATATTGTATCAGTAGCTTTGAATTTCACAGTGAACATTTTTTGCGAATAAGTCTTATCAAAACACTTGCAAACGAGGGGAAAATATACCTGCATTTTCTTTATTGTTTTAACTTGGTACAATCTGGTAAGATCTGTTCTTGTATTGTTTCTAGGGTCTGAATTTTTGGTAAATGTTGTGTCTTGAAATATTGGCTGCATTTTGACTGAATTCTAGTCATTTCGGTACCAAGTTGTTTCGGTACTTGCATGGGACAAGAAGACAAACACGCTGCTCAACATTTCTCTTTCTTCAATGTCACCAAAATATAGCTTACATTTCAAGACACTGACCATATCTGCTCTTATGTATATAAGTTAAGTTAATTAGCAACTGACTATTATTCGAAGGGTGAGGGCAGATAATTACACAAATACTATATATTTCGCATACTATATATTTCGCAGGTATGTCGCCTCGATTGAAAGCTTCGCTTGTAGGGAGGCATCTTCTATCTTCTTGTTGCGATGTACTTGATGGGGAACTTAATTCTCCCTTACACCCTACATCGACTATGAGTCCTGGTTGCACGCGCACGGTTATTACAATTGTAGAAAAAATTGTACAAATTATAAAATATTAAGTCATATAATTTAGGAAAATGAATTTTAGGTCTTGATTAACATTAACTAACACGTAGTTGGTATTAAAGGACAAGTGGCAGAACAATCTCCAGACACCATGTCACTATATATTCTCACACAAGTTATACAAGGATTAAAAGGTAAAAACAGGGATGTTAATATAACAATGATTTGGGTCATATTTGTATTCCTAATTTACTCACTTGACCTCTGTTCATCTTGTTTCAAGTAAAAATGTCAGGCTATATTTTTTCATTCTTATATACATTGTTATCTTAGTACTGGGCAGTAACAGTCAAGTAGCGGGGCAATCCCCAAACAGCTTGACGGTTACACTAAACAGTGAACTTATTGGGATGATCCTTAAAGTGGGTGTTCAGCCTGGTTTTGAAGCTATTCACAGAGTTTGCTGTAATAACACTATCCGGCAAATAGTTCCACAAATTGATTACGCAGTTGGAGAATGTATTTTTGCAGGTATTGAGCCAAAACGGTCTTTTGTACAGTTTATTCCTGTTCCCGCTCGTAGCTGTGTTTCCTGGTTGTACAAACATAATTCCTGAGTCTATTTGATCAATTTTATTAATAATTTTAAACAGTTGAATCAGGTCAGCACGTTTCCTCCTATACTCCATCGTTGGGAGACCTAACGTCCTCAGTCTCTCACCATAGCCTGGCATAGGTCACAGGTTTCTCAGGGTTTTTTGCACATTCTCTATTAGGGTTTTGTCCTATATTCATTCCGGCCCACCAGTCAATGTCAATATCGGTAACATTAAGTCATATACACAAGTCCGTGTGCATGGACAGAAAGTCAACTGTATTGTAGTAATGATACCCACAGAAACTGCACATATTACTGAACTGTCACACGCAAACATCTGTCAAAACCGACACATCTTGATTAAGCCAAGATACCGAAACGGACAAACACTGTGTATGACATGTGAATATGTCGTTCTTTGAAAAAGAAAAAACATTATAACAATATCAAACATGTTTACATTCACAAAATTATTCTTGATCGATTGGAATGTGACTGAATTGGGATGAGGCATTACACGTCATTTTCCCGCGAGTGGACGACCTGACGTCTGTCATACCAACCTTCACTTCCTCAGCGTCCTCTCCCGCCCAGGCATCAGTAGTTGAAGAAAATCCAGCATTAACGTCAAAATCCTCTGCGTCTGTAATAAATATAATTCCAATAAAATATCCAAAACATATACGATACGCAAACCAGAGAAAATATGGTAACACCCATGTGCTTACCCCATGCGTCCGACATTTTGGTTTTTACGACGGTGTATCGAAATCCCGTGAGTCCGAGACAAGGATTTTGTTTTGAATCAATAGATCTATAGTTATTTTCTATTAGATTTAGGAGGTTTACTTATTCATTTTTATATGTGAAGGACAGTTTGTTAATAATTAACGACGCATTTAAGTCATAATCAATTTTGCTGTCCAGTGTACATTCATGATAAAGTGGACCGGAATAGAATTGTTATCAGTAGTCATTATCTTTCATTTTGTTTGTATTGAATTTTAATTACTATCAATATCACTTCCATATTTCGTGTGTTCAATGCAACCAACAGCAGAAATTGTAAAAAGGTGATTATCAATTTTAACTGCGTTATTATTTGAATTAAACTTAACACCTTCTCTAGGAACCTGTTAACAGTGTGACCCTAAAGTTATATATAGATTTGTTTACAAATGGACGACAGTGTTTATCTCAGGAATGCATTATGTTTGAAGAACGTTAGTTTTTTGATATCCACGATATTGTATAGTTAAAACACACCATGAATAGGAAGACACCTAAGAAACCAGGGAATGGAACAAAACCTAAACAGGTAAGTAACACTCTTTCGTCGACAAATTATATTCGTGGCCTACAGTTTCATTTATTTTTTTCAAGAGTTATTGCCCTTTAAGCATTACTTTACTTTTAAAAAAGTGTTTTCTCACATGGCAGGTTATCCTAACAAATTTTGGAAGAGTTAGCCTTTTCCCCTTCGATCTGTATAATTTCTAGAGATTTCACATCTGATCTCTCATTTAACTCTACCACTTTCAATTTTTTTTATTTCAAATTTTGATGAATTCATTGTGAATGGCATGATTTTTTTTTCTCATTGGCGTGTAAGTTAAACAAAGTTCCACTTTGCATTTATTTGTTTTCGTTTCCATACAATACTGTATCACTTTTTTAAATTGGTTAATTGTAATACAGTGCAGTTATTTAACATGTATTACCACACTATTTAATTCCCGAAATATATATTTTTGTATGTGTATGGGATACATGTGGATTTTTCTGTTTCATTGCACTCTTGTAATGACAATTTCCGGCTTTTTTTCACAACTTGAATTTCCATTACAATATTCACTGAAATAATAATTTCTATTCTGTTATTAACGTCACTTAGTGAATTGGTTGTAGAGTTCTAGTCAGAGCAATAGTGTAGCCAGAGGAGGAGTAGCAAGAAGTCAGGCTATGGTGGTGCGAGGGACAGGGGGACAGGCCATGCAACTCCCTAAAGGAATGCAGCCGGTCCCAATGAGAGAGGAAGGAGGCATGCTCATACCAGAGGGTGAAGTTGATTGAATCTTACAAGTTCGGATCTGTTCTGTTGACTTGAAATATATCTCAGTCCAAATGTAAGTTGGCTGGTCATCATGAGTCTTTATGATGCTGGCCAGCTGAAATTTAATACAAGGGTTTGAGATATTAAAGTCTACAGATTTGACCCATGTTTGATTATTTTTCTCACATACTGAAATGTACAAAGAAAATTGTAACATAATTACCCAGGTATATTTTATATACAACTTTTTTATACTATGTATTTCACTCATGCCAGGAGATGAGATAAATCTTCTCTGCATCTTTGTCTGAATAGAAGTCTTTTGTAATGGTTTAACTTACTGTGAAAACCCCTGTAATGTGCACAGAAATTAAAGGTCCAAATTAGGGAGTGCATACATTACGTGGCTATACAGAATTTTTCAAGTTTGTTTTCATGGTATATTGAATGCAGGAAAGTAACTTGGAGGTTAAACTGTCACTAAATGCTGGAAGATTGTGTCTTAAAACATATTGATTTATGTACATTTCTTATGCAGTAAGCAAGTTCTTATATTGGAAAAACTAAATTTTAGTGTAGAGAATCAATGGAATGGTGTTGTAGATCATTGGCCCCCTCCCCCTTTTTTATATTACTGAAAACTTTTCTTTTTCAAAATCAAATTTTTTCATGTCTGTATAATCTGTAAATATCTTTAATGTATCTATTAACAATAAAAATACATATGTTATGATATAAGCAATACATTGTTATTGAATTATAACATTTTATAATGTAAGAATATGTATTTATCATGAGACAAAAATTTGCACTAAGAACGATGGCTATGGAATTATTTGTTGTACTGATCTGTTGTCTTATATATTTATTCTGAAGTATGCTTTGAAGCTGGATATACATATTGACTGTTCTCCCAAATGTCAGTTGTCTGTTAGTGCATGACAACTGCCTTTTGTATTGTCAGGTTACACAATGAGGAAGATAGAACCAGCCAAAAATTATGATGTTGTATCATTCGCTAAGGCTATGAACCAAGATTTTGCCCCAAGACTGAAGAAATTGTTTGATCCAGAGACAGAGGCTGCCCTTGAAGCACAGAGGACAGGTAACTGGTGATGATATAAATTATAATTCTCCACAGTTTTCAATTTTTTAAAGATTAATTGAGAAATGTTAAATATATCAACTTGCAAAAAAATGTACGCTGTTGCTGTTGGCATAATCCTGTTTCTGATAGAATAATATAAGCTCATCCATAGATATTGCTATGCAGAAGAATTACTGAAAATTGTTAATTCATTTTCTGGTAATCAGTCAGACAGAGGAAGTCAGTTATAGACTGGAGATCCCTGTGGTTTAAAATGCTATTAATGGGATAAATATGTTATGAATTTTTATTTTAACAAACACTCCATGTTTTGTGTTGTTATTTTTTCTGACACAGGTATCTACATAGGATGGCGCTGTCCAGAATTCAAGCATGATTGTCAACGGGTGAATAAAATGTCCAAGTGCTTCTGTGGTCACTTGTTAGGGGAACATGCCCAATATACAGGTAATCTTAACACTGACAAGGGAGCTTGTACAATATCATATACAGGTAATCCCTGCAGTGACCAGGAAGCATGCACAATACATACAGGTAATTCCAGCAGTGACTAGTGAGCATGTCCAATGTATACAGGTCATCTTAGTAATGACTAGTGAGCATGTCCAATGTATACCGGTCTTCCTAGTAGTGACTAGGGAGCATGTCCAATGTATACAGGTCTTCCTAGTAGTGACTAGTGAGCATGTCCAGTGTATACAGGTCATCCTAGTAGTGACTAGTGAACATGTCCAATGTATACCGGTCTTCCTAGTAGTGACTAGGGAGCATGTCCAATGTATACCGGTCTTCCTAGTAGTGAATAGGGAGCATGTCCAGTGTATACCGGTCTTCCTAGTAGTGACTAGGGAGCATGTCCAGTGTATACAGGTCTTCCTATTAGTGACTAGTGAGCATGTCCAGTGTATACAGGTCATCCTAGTAGTGACTAGTGAGCATGTCCAGTGTATACAGGTCTTCCTAGTAGTGACTAGTGAGCATGTCCAATGTATACAGGTCTTCCTAGTAGTGACTAGTGAGCATGTCAAATTAATACAGGTCTTCCTAGTAGTGACTAGTGAGTATGTCCAGTGTATGCAGGTCATCCTAGTAGTGACTATTGAGCATGTCCAGTGTATACAGGTCATCCTAGTAGTGACTAGTGAGCATGTCCAATGTATACAGCTCATCTTTGTAGTGATCAATGTGCATGCATAATACATAAAGGTAAACCTAGCAGTGTCTAGGAAGCATGCATAATACATACAGGTTATTCCAGCAATGATGAAAGGATGCTATTAAAGCATATCAACATGAACACCATATATAATATATCATAATATATATAAAAAAAGAATCAGTCAACTTCTAAGCTATTTGCTGGTAGAGACTAGTCCTACTATTGGGAGAAACTCAGTTTTGCTACATGGCATATCTATGTTATTTGTTTGGAATATTGATGAATTTTAACAGTGAAAGCAAAATGTTCATACAAATTGGTCTAAACATGGATTGTTGTGGTTTAATATTGTTGTTGATAGTCTGTATATGAATTGTATTAATGCAGCAAAAAGTTTGCGAGTCAGGTGTGCTCAGGGTGGCTGTAAGTGCAGGGCCTTCGTATGGATACCTTCTCGACCAGAGGATGTGGGCGAGTTCTGGCACCAAAGACGCAGAGACTTCGATCCAAGCACATGGCGTGCAAAGTGCAGATGTAAACATACACATGAGGAACATGACCCTGCTGGCTCACGACGATGTATATTTAGAGGTTTGTTCTCCTTACACATGTTATCATATATTTGATATTAAACCTGTAATAAAAAAAATGTCAGGCACTTTCTTGATTATGTGGAATGGCTCGTTTTTATGCTTCCCGAAGGGAGAGCATATAGTCATGGCTTTGTCCATCCATCCGTCTGTGTCCATCTGTTTGTCCATCCATCATAATTTTATCAGGAGCATAATACAAAAACTACAAGAGGAAACAACATATAAATTCATAAGTAGATAGATCTCAATGAGAAGGAGGGCAGTGCACAAGAATCATAACTCTCTCATTTGCCTAGGTAAATTAAATTGAATTATGTCCTATTCAAGGAGCTTAACACATCTCTTACAGCCCTTGTTATTTCTTTTTTAGATTTTATATCGTCAGCTCATTTACAACTCCTATACAAAAGCAGTCACACATATTGCATTGGGTTATGTCCCTTAGACCTTATTTAGGTTTGTACATGTCGTGAACATTTAATCTTTTTCCTAGGTTGTTCTTGTGGACATTTCAACTCTAATTTCCTGTGTGCAGCATGTGATAAACACTGGGAAGATCATGAAACATTTTTTGAGAGTGAGCAAGACCGCATTGATAAAGAACTTCCTTATGGTAAATATAACAAAATTCTTCTCCACAGTTAACAGAGATATATGTTACGTTCGATATGTATGTTTGAAATCCAGCATTACATCCAACAAAGATTTTTGATTTATCTGTTTTCAATCTTTCAGTCAACATTCTCAATTCAAAAACTCAAAGGCAAAAGTTGTGTATTCCAGAAATCTCAAAAGAAATCAACATGTCAAGAATGATTGCCCGTTATGTTCTGATAAAAGTAGCAGTGAACTTTGGAATCTTCAAAAAATAAACTCAACTTTACCCTAATTTTGGAATCCTGAATCATTGACTCACCCTAGATGCTATCTTATTCAACGGGGTAGACATTCGTAAATCCATGTGTGACCCATAAATTGACTGGAGTAGAAAAATTCTGAGCTTAACATTGAAGTTGTATTGAACTTTTATTTTACTAAAGCTTATTTTGATGAAAAATAATTTGATAAAATATGATAATTCAAATCTTCCAAAAACGATGATGCACATTACAAAATATGTTCTTGATTTTTGTCAATAAAGGAGAGATGTACTTGCCATTTGCTGAGATGCCAGACTTGCGTAACATTGCCTTAACAGGAAGAGAGGATGACGACTCCCCATACAGGGCCCTGACCCAGGGGGAGGGGTCGATTCCAAGGAACCCCCGCCCTGTTGGAAACAATGCTCCTGTGAACTTTGGAGGAAACCCCAAAAGTGGCTTCAAACCAGTCTATGACTAAGGAATTAGCTATCCTTGCACCTAGATAGTTCCACAAAACCCTGTTTATCTTCACTGAATAGGATTGTTACTATTTTCTTACAATACCTGATGTGTTACAGGTTATATGACTTCTGTAGTTTTGTATCTACAGTTTATAATCAGCATTTTGTGTAGCAGATAATGGACTTTATTGATGTATAAGTCTCTATATATCAAGTTCTTCTGTGTCAAACCTACAGCTTTGGATTACTACAACTTCACAACTTCTTGTTGTTTCCACACTAACTAGGACATCACAACACATTATTGATGCTCTGAGGATGATTTCACTTCGATTGGTAAATTCAAAATTTAAAATTATATGGTGTTTTTAATTTGGTTGGGAAAAAAAGGTAGTTTCTGTGCCAAATTTTACGTTTTTCACAATAAGTGCTACATAGTAAAACCTGTAATTATAGAAAGATATCGGCAAGATATCATCATGCCTGTATACAAAGTGTAAATAGAGGAAAATACTGAACTGACTGTGATAGTATCACATAAGTCAGTTCATCCTGAAGACAACGTAACACTGTTGCCTCAAGTACAAACCCTCGATGTATGATAAATAAACAAATGTGAGATGGCCCTTTACATGATTATCAATCCATCAATCATGCGACACTTTTTGTCACCCTTCTTTTGAAAATGAAAGTCCCTTAATTTCACTCCAAATACTCTTTAAGTTATAATTGTCTCACTATTCCCCATAGAAATATTGCAGGTATAAATAAGTTGGTGCAGAGATAAAGATAAATCTGTGTACCTGTAGTATTGATGTTCGTGTGTTTAGAGCATTGTCTCCCGTGGTCTGTAATGAATTAGTAACCATTTTGCTGTTTTTAGCAGGTATGCTGAAATCTGAGTTCTTTTGTGAGACATTGTATAATCTTTCCAATCAGATCACAAGTAGACTGGTAGATTCTTTATTAATTTGTAACTTACAATGGTGCTGAACACATACATTTTATATAATATGCACATGATGTTTGTTGAAAGTTCATAGCCACTGCTGTCCGTGCCTTATAAATGGTACACTAAATGTAAATTTATAAATGCCCTTCACCAACCTGTAACATGAAAGTTATCAGGTGATTCAATATTCAACATCTGTCAAAGCTTGATGTAAAAAACTGAAAAGATTTATTTATAGAAAACCCTCTGTTGGTCCTTGGACTTAAAGTTGTTATGGAATTCATTGAAATAGCAAGAAAACTTTAAAATACCCCAAAAATAAAATTTGTTTCTGAATCTACAACTTAGGTCTTTTTTTTTCTGGCATGAAAGATATTATTTCTCCCATTGATAACATTGATAAGACAATGGAGTTTTTCTTCTTTTTTGTTATTGTAAAGAGAACTGTTATAGTTGTGTTCTATTATTTAGATAAATATTGAGGTTTTTATTACCAAAATATGAATACATATCTTTTTGTTTTCATGTACTTGTATTTAAATTCCGTCCTTGAGATGTCTGTGATAAATTTGTATTTTTCAATGTATTTTAGAAAACTTAAATGACATATACATTCCTTGTTTACCATGAAAAACAGAATTGCTGTTTCCCATAGTCCATATTAATTTGTTTTTATCTGAAGGTTACAGAACAAAAATGCTTACTGTTCAAAGGAAAAATATCCTGTCTTACAGATATATATTACTTGTGTATTATTTTGAATGTGTTTTTGGAGATCTAAATTGGTTTTAATCAAACTATTTTTTATCAAGAGTATGGGTACATGAGTAACTTTTGATTGTGATATTTACATTAAAACATTGGTTATATAGTTTTTATTTGTTTGTAAACAGGTTACTTACGTTTATGTCTGTTTCTTTACCAAGTTCTCTAAAGTATCAGTGACTTTACTGATCTCAATTACATCACATTGTCTCTGTTTTTTAATACTGTAAATACATTGTCATTTTCAATGGTAAATTAAAAAAAACCTAGTTCATTCTATTATTACTCCAATTACATATGTTCTTGTCTGATGTGCAATGTGATAACAGTGTGTCCTTAATCACTGATGCTGAAACAAGCTCATTTAGGTAGGATTAAGACCTATGTTTATTGTAACTTGGGTTATTTGATAACTGAATTGTACTCAGTGGAAAATTAAACCATTGTGTGAATGATATTTGTCTATTGTTAACAAATTTGGCATACATTTCTGATAAGTGCATGCTATGGTTTTTAATTGATAGTCCTAGTCCATTTAGTGAAGCAGATTAATTTAGACAAGGATCACATTCCTATTCAATTTGTGGAGTGAAGGAAATAAAGGAAAGCATGTTGATTCAAACATTTGTAATTTTAAATGGGCACAATTAAGTTATTAGACATTTCAATATGACACGCTAATGCACATTATTTGAAATATCTTTTAAAATGCAGTGCACATTCCAGTAAACAATTAAAAAGGGAAAAAAAATCATAAATAGCCATTTTTTGTTGATTTAGTCCAACTTTTTGATGGTATTTATACATGTTTATATAAGAGACTGTTTTGTTACCCAGTGAATAGATTTAACAAAACTGTAAGATTAGACATAAGTTTAAGAAATTGTTATTAAATATCCACACAAATATTTTTATATACAGTATCTACACATAGTATAATGTTGTAACCCTCCTGCTCAATAAACACAGTACTGCTACAATTTTGTGTTTCCTTTTTCCTTGTTTTGTTCAACAGGTTCAATCTGATCCGTCTGAACATATATCTACAGCTGTGAAATGATAGATAATGTTCCCAATTATGTTTGTTTCATGTTGGACAATTTTCACTAGCCATTGATAGTCTCTATCCAGCATTTCAACCAATGATGCTATCCGCGGCAAGTGTTTTCGTAATCGCCAGAGGTGAGCTTAGTTATACCGTGGCAGGTTTCAACTTCACCGAAACTTCATTTCTTAGCTAATAAAAAAAACCGCCTCAAAGACATACTACTTACAAATCCTAGTGAGAATTACCGACGTTACTTCCGACTAAAAAAGAAAGTTTTAACAATCAAACGTTACGGGAATTATCCTGCCACCAGGTAGATACACCAGGTACATGTAACTAGCGTGGGCTCTGATTAGAGAGGTGGAATTCAAAGCAGACCTGTGGGACTGTATAAAACTAGTTATAACTGCGAGATGATTGAACAGTGAAGCAAGAAATACAATCACGTGAACTGAAGAGGTTATTTTTGGGAATGAAAGAAAGTTGTTTTAATAGCCTGGTGGTCTTTTGTAAGGTTTCGCACTATTGTGATGTAGTTTATTAATCAAGAATTAAATTCACTGTTCATACCCCGACTATTTATGAGTATGAAAATAGTTCCTCTTAATAACTCCTTCAAATTCTACCCGTGTCATGTATGTTCCCGAGGGGACCGTGATGGCGGCGAAAGCGCGGTAAACGGCACCCATTCCGTGACCATTCCTGTCCGCGCTAGTGCGGTTTGGTGCGGTTGGGATCCCATATGTGCGGCACATTGTAGAACACCACCACCTGTAGAAAACACAATCGAACTTCTAAATTGATGTGAAGAGAATTCGAAGTTAATATTGATCGCAAGTGAGAATATGTTAAAGTGAAAAGGATGCGAGGATAATGTTAATTTTCGTGTCATTTGTATCTTGCCATCTTATCGAGAGAGAAAAAATCACACCGTATGCTGTAAATTCTTTATAATATACGTTTTAGGCATTTTTTCTTTTCTATACATTTTTTCTTGGAATATTAGTTAAAAGGAAAATGCTTTTCAACGTAGAGGACACCGAGTGTGTGAATTAGCGTGGTAGGGGTGTGGGGAGACTCCATGATTTCGGGTTGTAGAGGACTGTTTGGTATGGAGGGGACATATTTGGTATACTGTGGAGTAGACTTCTGAATGAGAGAATCAAGATCTATAATGAAAATGCTATGTCAGGGAACCATAAAATGCCGGCTATGCAATAATATGTCTTAATGTTAAACTTAGTAAAGATCGAAATCATAAATTGATTATAAAATGTGCCTTATCAATTCTTAGTTGATAAGAATATGCGGGGATAACACATACAGAAGACCCATATTATTATAATTCGAATTACCTACAACAATTTACCATTACTTCCTATAATTTTGTGATTAAATCGACGAGGTCTTGTGTGACAGTACTGGTAACTATGTTACCGAAGCACTTCAAAGAAGCTGGTGTCGAAATTTACACTCTTTAGACTAAACGGTTTTCTCGCGGTGATAACTTTAGATATTCTAACCTTTGTAAAGTGTCAGCATTAAGTACGAGTTTCAGTTCTGAAATTTCATCCATGTAATATGTATTGTCTTTGTTTTCGCGTCTCCTTTATCGTATAATCCTTTGCCGGTATTCATGTCTTTTTCAGTGACTTTTAAAGTGTTCGATTTGAAAGGATATCAGAAATCGGAACTGTACTCCAACATCAGAGGTGATAACCTCGCCAGAATAAAATGATGTAAACAAATACAGGGACGTGTGTACTATAGGTTTGTATTACGTGTCCCAAACGAATACGACCCCAAGATCTTTTCCTTCGTTTGCAATTTCAATCATGACTTTGTTCCCCTTTCATTGCCATGTTCTAAGTATATATCGACTTTGAGAGCCATCGAGTTCCAGTTTTTGACTCTCTGAGTAACTATTTATGATAAACTCGGTTGGGTTTTATATACAGAAAAAAATCCACATCAATCTTCCTCTGGAATAATGCTATTGTTTTAACATTATAAGCAATGGATGTGCATCAAAAATTTAATCAGAAAGAATTATAATTCAGATACGACAAATGCCATTCAAACCCATGACCATCGACATACTTGGGCATGCGTCGGCGAGCTTTCGACGTTAAAATGCATTATGGTTTATTTGAAATTTCTTTCAGCTAGTGATTCAGCATTAAAGCGATCTTAAACGCCATATCACGACTGTCCAGTTCTTGATTAAATGTAAGGACACGCGTTCCGTTTATCGCGTACCCGTACCTTGTACGTATTATGATATATGTGTTTGCTATCGAGACAAACAACTTTAGTAGTCGTTCGTACGTCACCGCATGCCATACGCTATTGCGCACGTCTCGTGAACTCTAGGCCTCATTTGTGACCTGTTAGACCAAGTGTTCAGCCGCACGGAAGCAACATGGCTCTTCTACAGAGACTTGTCACTCGCAGGGGAGTTTGGAAATTGCTGAAAACTCAGAAAGCATGCTTGTCAGCGGTTCCTCAGCCCCTGGTGAAACCTGATATAAAGTACGAAAAGGTAAAATAGTTTTCGAGTTGCTGTTGTGCAGCCCTGCTGGCACCCCAGCATTGGCGTCAGGCTCTTGTTTACATACTGTAAAATGAAATTAATTTCATATTTGTTTGCAAAATGTCATGTAGTGAAAATAATAGACTTTTTGAATGCGTTAACGCGACTGTTGCTTTTAATAATTTCTAAAACAGTTGACATGCACATGTAATTACATGTAGTGCATATGAACCCGAACGGGATCAACATGTTCTCCAGGCTGGCAGCACGATGTTTTGTCTTTGCTCGATCGACCACAAAACGTTTTACAGGGTACAGCACATTGCGACTAGTATTTAATAGGGTTGCAGACATACAGGTTTTCTACAGTTACATGAAACTATCGCAAAATTAGGCTTAATTAAAGCAAGAGTATTGATAATAATGATACCAGATTGAATGAGATATCCTTAACGAATTATCCCATGGTCATGACTGTGTTTATCAACATCTCTAATTATATCAAATTAAAGCGATATTTGGTCAATGAAAAAAATTGATAATTGTTACAAGATATACAATTGAATATGATTTGTGTCTGGCTATATATATATTTATTACGTCTGTGACTAGGAATAGAAAGGAGTTATGAAAAATACCCTGCCCCACTATGGTTGAACTAGCAAGTGTTCATTCTCCAAAATTGTTTTACTACATAAATCTTGATTGAAACAAGTCTTGTGCTTATGATTAAACTTTTAATTAACCATAAATATATTTTTATCCAAAAACCTGTTTACCTAAGTGTGTGCCTCTATTAGTTAATGAAAGTGCAGGACAGTATATCTTTTATATTGAAGTACTGCTTTTCTGAAAGGTGAAATTTTTTCACATTCAAAAGCGACTGACTTTCTTAAAGAAAAAATGCCCTCTTTAATAAATAATGCCCAATTGTCATTTCTGGAAAGAAACTCATGCTTATCCATGTCCATGCGATTTTCACTGCAAAGCATTTCTGGTGCAGCAAATGAAAATTACCTGACAGTTTGAATTCAGATGTTGTGAAATACCCTGCCATGTGGAAACTGTGGAAATCTCCCATGGTTTTTAAACAATCTTTTTCAGATATGATGGGCTCTATCAACATGACATGAAAATATTTTCTCATGAACGGCAATATGTTAGGAAGAGCTACTACCCCTTGTTGTTTTCATGATTTTAAACTTTTCTGAAAATCTTTCTCTCAGTTTTCAGCCAATTTCTGCATCAGCTTGATCATCATGCCAGGAAGTTGTGTTTTTCTTGTATAGCAGTTTGATTCCAATATATTTAAAAGAGTTATTGGCCCAGAATGTTTTAATGTTAATCTTATCTGAGAATCTTTAACAGATTTCAACCAATTTTTTTTCATGATAATAAATAATAAACTTTATTTATTTTACAACAATTGTGAAGTAAGTTTGTCTAACCTATATCAATCACTCTTGTTGGCTTGGATGGAAGTGCGAGAGGGGTCTTAGTGTGGGAGGAAACCGGAGTACCCAGAGAAGACCCACATGGTCGGGCAGGTGACCCCATACCTTTTCACATCCATTCTGGGAATTGAACCCCGGACGGCTAGGTGAAAGGCGAGTGCATTACCACTACGCCACCTGACCACCCTATAAATTTTTTTCATACTTAGTAAGCTTACCACTTTGACATGAAGTTTCGTTTTCCTGTATCTTAACGAATCATTTAAAATATCACTTTCAAAACTGCAGTTTATACACCAGTACACAACAAAAAATTTTCTGACTTATTAAATAAGTAACATTTAAGTCGGTCAAGGGCAGATAAGATCTTTCTGTGAAGTTTCTTCCTTCCCGAAGAATATAATTATGATGTTGATTTAAAGGACGGTCTTGGGACTGGGAACGGTGAACAGTTGATCTGATCTTCACCGACATGTAAGTCTCACATGTAGGTAACAGATGTGTGCGTTTCACAGTAAAAACACTGTATAAGCAGATCTATATCTCATCACAACAAACAGATCCTGACCCAAAAATATCCTGTGATATCACTTAGCTTGAGATTAAAATGTTTATATAATAACCTTGCTTCAGTTATCTGGTACAAATATGGGTTACAGCTTTATACACACAGATACTGGGTGATAATGTGTGAGTCCTTCTGAGATTGTGGGTTTTATCTTGCTGTCTAGTCTAAAGAAGGTTATATATCTAGAAGTACACGTTCAAGGTACTTGTGGTTCAAGGATACAAACATGTGTACTACACAGGTAGTTGGGTGGCCCAGTTGTAGCGCACTTGCCTTTCACCTAGCCGTCCGGGGTTCGACTCCTGAAACAAACGTGAAAAGTTAAGGGTCACCTTGCCCGTTACAGCTTTATACACATAGATACTGGGTGATAATGTGTGAGTCCTTCTGAGATTGTGGGTTTTATCTTGCTGTCTAGTCTAAAGAAGGCTATATATCTAGAAGTACACGTTCAAGGTACTTGTAGTTCAAGGATACAAACACGTGTACTACACAGGTAGTCGGGTGGCCCAGTTGTAGTGCACTTGCCTTTCACCTAGCTGTCCGGGGTTCGACTCCTGAAACAAACGTGAAAAGGTAAGGGTCACCTTGCCCAACCACGTGGGTTTTCCTCAGGTTCTACAGTTTCCTCCCACAATATGACCCCTCAAGTGCTTAATCAGGACCAACAAGAGTGATTAGTATAAGTTGAAATAACTTGTTTCACAATTGTTGTAAAATAATTAAGTTTATAGTTTTATAGTGTACTACACATTTTGGTGATAGTGAGATATATTTGACCTATAAACCATAATACCAATTACCTGATTTGATACAGGGGCTTTCATTATAACACTTCATTTTAGAATTTTGATACAGATCAAAATGATTTATGAATTTGAAAAGGAATCCTGTTATGCAAATAAAAGAGTGAAATATATACATTGACAATTACTGAAATTTTTCGTGCTTTTTATCTAACCTTCTTTTGAACTGACCAGGTGTTACATTTTATGGAGAAAAGCAAGTGCATTACATGCTCCTGTACCTTGTTAAAGAGTTGCTTTCCTTTGACTGGTGTTTTGTGATGATGATGATGATGATGATGATGATGATGATGATGATGATGATGATGATGATGATGTATTTTATTTATTCAGCTTTTCATCAACAATGAGTGGGTAGACTCCAAATCTGGAAAGACATTTCCAACCATCAACCCAGCGACAGGCGAGCAGATCTGTGAGGTTGCTGAGGGTGACAAGGTAGGTCTTCTCCAAAAGGTCTTGGTGATTGTTAAAAGAGATAAGGTAGATCTCCTCGAAGGTTTCTAAGATTTTATAGTAGTGGTTGACTGATGATTGAAAATAATAAAAAAAATAGTCCAGGAAAAAAAAACAAAAGAAAACTGATCATCAGTGCTCATTTTGAAAAAGACAATCAAAAATGTCCAGAAATGTTTGTAAATTTTCAGCTTTGTGTCATGAAACTTTTGTATTTTGTTATTTAACCTATAACCACAAAGTCTTGTTGATTCTTTGTTTTACTAACACATTCACTGGTAGTTTACAATTGATTTAGGAGATAAGATATGTTAACAACCATTACATTGGTGCTTGTGTTCAGCATTAAAATGTATAAAAATACTGACACAAATAGACACAATTCAGACAACACAAAATGGCAGATGGTACAATTGGCGATACTGCTCTCATTTATTTCCTACAAAAGTGCAATTATGTACTAAATTTAGAGAACCAGTTGAAATTGATAATTGATCAAGTTTGTTTTTTCAAGAATTGATTATGAAATGAAAGATAGGTCTTCTCCAAGGTCTGTGAGATAACAGTGGGTGACAAGATAGGTCTTCTCAAAGGTCTGTGAGATAACAGTGGGTGACAAGATAGGTCTTCTCAAAGGTCTGTGAGATAACAGTGGGTGACAAGATAGGTCTTCTCAAAGGTCTGTGAGATAACAGTGGGTGACAAGATAGGTCTTCTCAAAGGTCTGTGAGATAACAGTGGGTGACAAGATAGGTCTTCTCAAAGGTCTGTGAGATAACAGTGGGTGACAAGATAGGTCTTGTCTGAGGTCTGTGAGATAGCCGACTTTGATAACATGGGTCTTCTCATAAGGTCTCTAAGGTTGTAAAGGACAATAAGTCTACTCCAAGGTCTGGGTGGGAAGTTGCTACGGATAATAATATGGGTCTTTCCCAAACAGGAGGTTAATGAAGATGATAAGGCAGACCTTCTGCTAGTTCTGTGAGGTTGCTGAGGGTGACAGGTCATTTTTCCCCCCAAGGTCTATTATTATGACATAGGGAGGTATTGTAGGTTCTCTGCCATTTATCAACCAAAGATCTCGTACAACTCAAGATTTTTGATGCTCTCGATTCTCGAGTGGTCAATCAGGGAGAAATCAGCTTACAGGCTGACTGAAGTCTAATGTACTAATTTTGTAGTTGATTAAGAAAAGCTAACAACATAAAACTTTATCTTTCCTTTTTTGTAAGTTTTAAAACTCAGATTGTATGGTTAAAATTCTTCCAGGTTCGTTAAATGGAAGAAATTTGTAGGACGGCAGTTTTCTTTCAACTTGTTAATGCATGATGCTTAGTGATCTGCTGGAGTGAACACATGTTTATACATATAAACAGGCATGTACAATGACCTTTAAAGGTGAAGTTTTTCATCTCAGAAGGCAATACCTAATCCTCATTCAACTCGTTTCTACAGTTTAGAGATTCTCAAAAGGATAAGTGAAGTGAGGCATTTCTGATCTTTACTACTGTAAGTGACATTACAACGATTGAACAGCCCACAACAGTGTTAGTATAATACAGCTATTTGTAAAGTGTTCTGTGATACCCTGCAAACAAAGTGTACCTGTTAAAGAGATGTTTGTCATAGGAGTAAGATGTGGTTCTGACTCTTTATTTGTATCCGTTCACACACACATTTCATACTAATATAGATCTGAATCACTATGCCAAGTGCAATAACATCTAGGAATAACAGCCCGTCTAGGATGCAGAGAAAAGTGGCCTTAATTGGCAGATAAAAGGTTAAATTAATATGATGTTTATTACAGTAAAGGAAAAAAAAAAAACTAGATGCCTTATAGGAAAGTATTAAGGTTACCTTGAGACAGGATTGACTAGTTTAGATAGAGGCAAGTTTTGCCTGATGTTTAAAAAGTAAAATATCAGTTTCAGTATTATCTAATATTTTTTATTAAATTCATCTCGCAATTGCAAGTGTATGGCTGGTAATAGGTACACTCAGAAGTGTTGGTAGTAGAGGTAACAAGTCACTCAGAAGTGTTGGTAGTAGAGGTAACAAGTCACTCAGAAGTGTTGGTAGTAGAGGTAACAAGTCACTCAGAAGTGTCGGTAGTAGAGGTAACAAGTCACTCAGAACTGTCGGTAGTAGAGGTAACAAGTCACTCAGAAGTGTTGGTAGTAGAGGTAACAAGTCACTCAGAAGTGTTGGTAGTAGAGGTAACAAGTCACTCAGAAGTGTTGGTAGTAGAGGTAACAAGTCACTCAGAAGTGTTGGTAGTAGAGGTAACAAGTCACTCAGAAGTGTTGGTAGTAGAGGTAACAAGTCACTCAGAAGTGTTGGTAGTAGAGGTAACAAGTCACTCAGAAGTGTTGGTAGTAGAGGTAACAAGTCACTCAGAAGTGTTGGTAGTAGAGGTAACAAGTCACTCAGAAGTGTTGGTAGTAGAGGGAACAAGTCACTCAGAAGTGTTGGTAGTAGAGGGAACAAGTCACTCAGAAGTGTTGGTAGTAGAGGTAAGTTGGAAGATCCAAGGTTTGTGGTACAATATGCTCTCTACAGATGGCGGTTGTTGGTAGAGTGTTGCCCACACAACCATTTCACCTTAGTTGGAAGATCGAAGATTTGTGGTACGATATGCTCTCTACAGATGGCGGGTTTTGTATTCAGGAAACTTAGAAATAGTGTGTTCTATGCTGTCAAGGTTGTGTCCTTGGACAAGATATTTTACCATAATTACTTTAGATGCCCTGTGACGGGCCTCCCTTATGTTTTCAGCGAGTTAGCCATCAGCCAATATGAGGAGAGCCCACCTCAACTGACCAGTGCTGTTGGTGTTAAACCCAGCAAACGACTATTATGATATGTTTAACAAGATCAGTTGCAATATACACTAAATATGTACTAAGCAGGGTCATTCCAAATGCCACATGTATTTAAGGTTTATTGATATCAAATCATTTGGTCCATTTAACCTGAATGTAGAAGAAAATAATATATTCCTGACTCTAAGCCTTGCAAATCAATGTTAAATGCCTGAGAAACTATTTACTGAAGAAATCTATAGTGAGCAGTTAAATTGTATCTCACCTGCAATGGTGTTTATACCAAGATTCACTGATGCATAACATATGTCTGTAAATTGAAATTAATCATATGATATTAACCTTCTTACCTATCATATTGAGTACTTGACATTTGCACTTGTATAGTTACAGATGTAGTATTGTACTAGATGAAAGAACAAGAGCTACCATTTATTATATGATTTTTCACATTTCTAAGTGATAGTTAATGTGTATGATGAATTTCTATTTTTCCAGAGTGTAATCAATATTTTCATCTAATGATTAAAGAAATTTTATTTCTCCTGTGAACAGTTATATGTAGCTCTGTAAAGTGGACAGTTAAATGTGTCTGTAAAGTGGACATTTATATGTGGCTCTGTAAAGAGGACAGTTAAATGTTTCTCTGTAAAGTGGACATTTAAATGTGGCTCTGTAAAGTGGACAGTTAAATGTGGCTCTGTAAAGTGGACAGTTAAATGTGTCTGTAAAGTGGACAGTTAAATGTGTCTGTAGAGTGAAAAGTTAAATGTGGCTCTGTAAAGTGGACAGTTAAATGTGGCTATGTAAAGTGAAAAGTTAAATGTGGCTCTGTAAAGTGGACATTTAAATGTGTCTGTAAAGTAGACAGTTAAATGTGGCTTTGTAAAGTGGACAGTTAAATGTGTCTGTAAAGTGGACAGTTAAATGTGGCTCTGTAAAGTGGAGAGTTAAATGTGGCTCTGTAAAGTGGACAGTTAAATGTGGCTCTCTAAAGTGGACAGTTTAATGTGGCTCTGTAAAGTGGACAGTTAAATGTGGCTCTGTAAAGTGGACAGTTATATGTGGCTCTGTAAAGTGGACAGTTAAATGTGGCTCTGTAAAGTGGACAGTTAAATGTGGCTCTGTAAAGTGGACAGTTATATGTGGCTCTGTGAAGTGGACAGTGAAATGTGGCTCTGTAAAGTGGACAGTTAAATGTGGCTCTGTAAAGTGGACAGTTAAATGTGGCTCTGTAAAGTGGACAGTTATATGTGGCTCTGTAAAGTGAAAAGTTAAATGTGGCTCTATAAAGTGGACAAGTAAGTTGTAGCTTTGTAAAGCTATTAGTGAAAAACATATAAAGATAAGGGTAAAGGAGATATACCTGTATGCAAGATAAAACAATGTTAGATTGATATAGAATGAATTACATAGTAGCAAAATATATCACAATAAAATACATTGATATTGATTTTGCTGTTGATGATATATTCTCAATATCATTTATAATCTTTATTAATAAATGTAGCAAATATCATAAAGATTTAAATTTAAAGCCTCAGATGAAGTTTGTACATCAAAGGTGTCTTATTTGACAATCTTCAAACTTAATTTAATGTATGTAAATTCATTGTTCTGGGATAAATGATTTAGGGATATTGATATGAATATGACTCTAAACTTATCCAAACAATTTGAGGTCTTTTTCCAAAATAAGGAAAATTTTCAAACATTTTCAGAAGCTATAATGAGTGATCGATCCATTAAAAGCGGACAGTACAACAATAGACAGAAGTCCTTGACCGATATATTTTTAGAGATATAGAGCTGAAACTTGTGGCATACTGGAACAAAGGGACTGGTTAGGCAGGACAGATTTAGCAATATCAGTCAAGTTGACTGCTTTTTATCCTAGGTACATACCAGGTATCTAGTTACACTGAATATTGATGGTTGATGTTAGGGTTAGTTTAGAAGTGTTCCTGATTGTGGATGGTTACCGTGGTATGCATGTCCTTTCTTTGATACCTATTTTGAAGGATCCAGAGACCAGTACAGGTTGTTTAAGATTTTGCCCTTTATCTCAAATATCCAACACTGAAACTTAAATGAAATGCATTTTAATGTGTTGTCCAATATGACTGCCAGAGAAGCTAATAAAAGTTATATATAAGTATCTTTATTTGAAATTCTCTTCTAGATTTTTTAATCTAATTTTCAAATAAATAATTTATTCAATATTTAGGGCCCCGCATCGCGATGCGGGTGCCCTATAGTAATCACCTTGTCCGTCTGTCCGTCTGTCACGCCGTCTGTCTGTCTGTCCGTTTCGCTTTCCGCACGATATCTTGAGAAGGAATGATGAGATTTCGATGAAACTTGCTTATGATACTTGGTACATAAGTCCCTCGCTCAACTTCGATGTTCGCCAAATTCTGCGCATATTTAATGAGGCTGCTGCAATCTGATTGGCTGAATGTTTTACATGTCTGTCGGTTTCGCTTTCCGCACGATATCTTGAGAAGGAATGATGGGATTTCGATGAAACATGCTTATGATACTTGGTACATAAGTCCCTTGCTCAAGTTCGACGTTCGCCAAATTCCGCGCATATTTAATTAGGCTGCTGCAATCTGATTGGCTGAATGTTTTACATGTCTGTCGGTTTCGCTTTCCACGCGATATCTTGAGAAGGAATGATGGGATTTCGATGAAACTTGCTTATGATACTTGGTACATAAGTCCCTCGCTCAAGTTCGATGTTTGCAGAATTCCGCGCATATTTAATGAGGCTGCTGCAATCTGATTGGCTGAATGTTTTACAGAGAATATCTTCTGAAGGAATGATTTGGGATTTCTTTAAAACTTGCTTTGTGATACTTGGTACATAAGCCCCTCATTCAAGTTCAATGTTCCCTCTGTCCGTCTGTCTGTCCGTCCGTTTCCCTGTCTGTCGATCCATATATCTGTCCATCTGTCCATTTTCATTGGATTTTGATGAAAGTTGCTTTCAATACTTGACACCTGTCCATATATTTCTTAATATTAAGAAACTCAATCATAAGGGGTAGGTATTATGCGGGGCCCTTCCTCGACATTGGTCTAGTATTAACTATTCTGCAGTATGATAAAAGAAGTTGTAGTTTTGTCTGATTCACTCAAATTGATTACTTTAAAGATTTTGGAACCTGTGTTCCCAGATTGGCAGTTAACCCTGGTATTACTGTATGTTATGTATCATAAATTGTTTGACTTAATTTGATGCAGGCTGATGTAGATTTGGCTGTAAATGCTGCCAGAGAAGCATTTCGGTTAGGTTCACCATGGAGAACAATGGATGCTTCTCAGAGAGGCCATCTGCTGAACAAGCTGGCTGACCTGATCGACAGAGATCGCCATTATATTGCTGTGAGTAGAACTCTGATAAAGTTTTGTGCATTATTAGGGTGTTATTTTATCAAGGTCATATTACATATACTGTACAGTGTTTTTAGTCTTTCATATGATACATTTTCTCCTAAATGTCTAAATGTTTTTCAGTTGTCTTCTTATTAAATTTTGCATTTGTGTTAATAATTTAATTATCTTCACAAATTTGCATTTTCATTGCCAAATCTTTTAGTAACCCGGTCATGGTAGAGTGATAGAGAAGGTAGCTGTAATGGTAACTGAAATCAAATTTGCTTTTTGGAATTCATGGAATAATTTTGTAATGATATTCAGTAGAAAAATTGTTCAGAATCAAGCAAGTTTTGTGATGGAACTTAATTTCCTTTAAAGTCATTGAGTCATATCGTCAAGATCATGAAATTTAAACTTTGTATTAATGATTTATTTGCTTGTTATTGATAAAGCCAACCAGTGCAGTATAAAGTGTACTGGTTTTTTTAATTTCTTAAGGTTAACATGTCGAAAATCTAATTAAGTCATTTATCCAGAGACTTAGTCAAGTAAAAATTAAGTTTCATCAGAAACAAACTTTTTCTAAGGATTTTTTTTTAAAATTTTTTCAAAAGGTATTTTATTACAATACTTAAATGAAGATATTCTCATACTTTCACATTGCTATCTAATAAACTCATTGATTTGTACAAAATTTTGTTGTATAACAGATGAACTTAATAAATGTATAATGAAATGCTTCAGTCTCTGGAAACATTGGACAACGGTAAACCCTACAATATTTCCTATGCTGTTGACTTAGATCTGGTCATCAAGTGCTACAGGTAATATACTATAACTACTTTTATATATTTGCTGGTGTTAAGAGTTCACGAGGTTCACTGATCAAAAGAATTATTGTGAAACTAGGTAAATACACATTAAAGACTTTGGGGCTAAGATCACAGCTGTGATATTGTCAGGTCTATTGTATTTATATAGTAACAGAGGTTCTAACACGTCATCCATGACTCTTCTGAACAGTGATAGATATAGTTGGACTTATTACTAAGCTAGCTGTTGAATAAATGGAGTAGATAATAAAGTGAATTTGTCAAGAACTGGTAATTAATAATTATTGAACTGTTACAGATACTATGCTGGATGGGCAGACAAGAACCATGGAAAGGTTATCCCAATATGTAAGTATTTATAAATATATATAGGAGTTAACTGAAGTAATTTATATCTTAGTTCTCTCATTGTTTTTGGAGAATATATGAACAAAGTCTTCTTTATATGTACTACAAGTTATCTCTACCTTTTATATGTACAGTGATAATTCCTCCACCAGACACTGAATCTGTCCCTGTCTGTCTTTCTGCTATGCTTGCATCAGAGACGTATATATCACGTGATATATACGTCTCTGGCTTGCATGAACTTAAGTTTCTTGTTTCACAAAATATAAAGTTTATATATTAGCATGTATATGTATATGTATATGTAATACATGTATCACAATGATTAGTTCAAAAGAAAGTGTAGTTAATCATGTGTTGAAAGAGGTCTAAAGTGTATGATATCTATTAAATATTAGGAATACATGTACCATGTATGTACAGTGTACTCTCCCCTGGAAAATTGGTATGAATATGTTGGTGAATCCTGTTTTATATACATATATAATTACTGACAGGTGGTGACTTCTTTACCTACACAAGACATGAACCTGTGGGAGTGTGTGGACAGATCATCCCAGTAAGTAGCCAGTACTGTCCTGCACAGTGTATATATATGAAAACAATTTTCTCTGTGGAAAGCATTATGCAATTCTAGCTTTAGTTACAGGGATATTGTCTGCTGCTGTATAACTATTTGTAATATCTCACATGGTCTCTCCTTCTGTTTCTGGTATTAATTTCAATTACATGATGTCATATTGATCAGTTACTCAGCAATATTTTCACTTCACTTAAATCTTTACATAGTTCTGGATCTGCTGGTTACAGGTTGTGGTGACATTAAAACCACCTGTAATTGACTAGTCATGGTTGGTTGGTTGTGGAATTTTAATGAAGGGTAGGCAGCAACGCTTCAGATATCATGCTAGTAGTCTCATACATACAGTTTTTATGCTCATTCATAATGCAAATTTTAAATTTCTTGTACTGGTTGGTCGTATCTCTATTCAGTGTTTGATAGGCAGGTGGTGGGCATGATATAACTTATGACTGGAAATAAAGAACTTTATTGTAATCACAACAGAGTTTAGCGTTTAGTGTGGGAAGGCGAGGTGGGGGTAGTTTTACATGCTCTTTAAATTTCTTGCAGTCATAAACTTTTGCTTCTATCCCTTTAAAAGTACATAATACCTTGTATCTTATGTAGCCACAAGTCCTAAGGTGTACGTCATTTTCCTCATAATTTGAATGGTATTCATTACATGTGCATATGCAGGATCAGATTTGGTTTTCATTGTACATTTATATGATTTTATCCATTTTGCTCGTCCATTTGTTGGAAGGAATTTCTTGCAATAGAAACTAATCAACAACAGAATATGGTCTGGTCCTGCCAAATGCATCACAGATAGCAGTGTACGATAATTTTTGCTTGAATAAATATTTTGATACATACACTGTAATATTCAGGGATACAAAAGAACTACAGAACTTTCAGTGGTGACATTGGATACAAGTACTTACCACGATTATTTACTAACAAGCCTATGTTTGATAATAAGCCCATCCTTATATATTGTTATACAATAGAATTCTGTAATAAGCACATGTCTTTTAATATGCCGATCCTTATATATTGTTGAGTTGAATCCTGGAATAAGCAATCCCTTTTTGTTGTTATACAGTAGAATTCTCTAATAAGCCCATGTGTGGTAATATGCCCACTCATTTTTATTGCTTTACGATATTTCTCCTGCAATAAGCCAGGGGAGGCAACAGATCTGACTTAATCTCAGAGTTGAACTTATTACAGGACAATGAATTGTATTCATTAGCAATGTATATGGACAGCTTGTTACCAGACATGGGCTTGATGCTGGATAAGTACAGTATTAACTTTATTTTGTAGTGGAACTTCCCCCTGCTGATGCAGGCATGGAAGCTTGGTCCAGCCCTGTCCATGGGAAACTGTGTAGTAATGAAGGTAGCCGAACAGACACCACTTACTGCTCTGTACATTGCACAGCTCGCCAAGGAGGTACTCAGATGTTCAATTTAATATTTATTTGTTTTTATGTTTTGTTTTTAATCCAATCATTTATATTAGAAACAATAAACTTTATTAATTTTGTTTGTTGATGTAAATATACAACATACTTTTGTTTTTAATTGATACCCTCATTGAAACTTTTGTGTAATGAAAATGATGTATTGAACAGAACTATGCTGTAAATGCTTATTTAGGTGCATTCAAATGAAGAATTTGCAACAGTTGCTTTATCAAGGATAGAAACTGCAATTAGCGTATTAATATTTCAGCCCAATATCCTAATCACATTAAGTGCTGAAATAGGATTACCTCTAAATTGCACACACTTACAGTCTATACTGATGATTATAAAAATTATTAATTCTGGTAAGATTTGAATGTGAGATAGAATTACACACATCATGATTTCACAATTTTTAGGCTGGATTTCCTCCAGGTGTAATCAACATCATCCCAGGATATGGACCCACTGCTGGAGGCGCCATTGCTGAGCACATGGATGTAGACAAGGTCGCATTTACTGGCTCAACAGAGGTAGGCAGGAGGTGTGATGACTAAAACCATTCATCAATACATGTTATTTTTGGTTACAGCTTGCTGTATGAGCATTTCTGCTTAGTTCATTAACACTTGCTTAAAACCTAAAAGTCTATTGGAAATATAGTAAATATACCAGGTTTCAAGTCTGACATTACTCTCATGATTGGTGTATACTCTGTATCTTCAGGTAGGACAGCTGATACCTGTCATGGCAGCCCGTAGTAACCTGAAGCGAGTGACCCTAGAATTGGGAGGCAAAAGTCCTAACATTGTCCTAGCTGATGCTGATAGTAAGACAAAATAATCTGTATTTTTGAGCATGCATCCATCTCACTACCAATCGTTTGATGAAAACATCCATTTCATAATCATTATTTTAACAATTACATTAATCTGACAATATTTTTGTGTTATTTTCCAACTCTATCATTTTAGTTAATGCACCTTGAAATTCTGAATCGAGAAGCTGTGGGTTACTTAATTTTTTTCAGGACCTAATTGACCTATTTAAATATTTGCATTGTATCACATATTAGAGATAAAGCCAAACTCACCGAAAATCATTATTGTTTATTTCCCTATTTATTTTACTGATACAAGTAATAAGATGGTGTTATTTAGTAATGATTGTTTTTCAAAATTACATTTTTATGGTCGAATATAAAATTAAAGAGAAACTGCCTGCAGTTTTGGCTGACATTGAAGGAGTTACTTCTCTTTAGGCCTTGTCTGATGTCCAATTCTATTGACCAGCTTTTTTCTCGGTAAGATATGTTGGAATTTGTATTGAATCATCTTTTTCAGTGGCGCAAGCAGTGGAGAACTCCCATTTTGCCCTGTTCTTCAACCAGGGTCAATGCTGCTGTGCAGGATCCAGGACATTTGTGCAGGAAAGTGTGTATGATGAATTTGTTGAGCGTAGTGTTGAGAGGGCAAAGAAGCGCACTGTCGGAAACCCCTTTGATTCTGCAAATGAGCAAGGTCCTCAAGTAAGGAAAACTCAAAAATGTGATGTTAAATGACATGTCATTCTGTAGTTGTAATATTTGTCAGATACTGATAACAGGTGAAATGAAATGGTAAATAAATTATTTTGATCATTAGGGAATTTTTTTTAAGTATTGATTATGGTTGTGTAAACAGTAAATGATGAATCACAAATCGTTTCACTTTTAATCTTTGAATACATCTACTTTAGCTTTAGACTGTAAAATCACCTCTTCTCATACCTAGGATGTCAATCACATAAACCCAGGTTTCAGTAACTTCCTGTCACATATTTTGGGATTTTATCATAAATTTATATCCCCACAAACACATCTCCTCAATTTTTTATCCTCAACATGCAGTGTTATCTAGGACCAAATTGCTTCAGTCCTACATTTTTAGGTCATCTGACCAGAAGGGTCATGATGACCTATAGCCATCGTGCTTTGTCCGTCGTCTGCCATGCATGGTTGGCTTTGCATAATCTTTTGACATTTCAAACTCCTCCAGTGGGATTGAGCCCAAAATTGGTGGGAATGTTAAGGAAAGGTAGCCAGCAAAGTGTTGTTATTTTTCGAAACTTGGATATGGCAGCCGAGAGGCCATTTTGTAACATGATTGTCCGATCATGGTTTTTCTTAGCAACACCTGTTTCAAGCTTCTTCTCAAGTTTCACCGGTTGGATTGAGCTCCAACTTTATTGTCAAAACATAGGTAACACTTGTTACAGTTACTTACTCCTCACCAAAACTACCATTTGCATCATTAAGATTTAATCATTGGGAACTTAGGAGTTGTATGATGTCACTTGCTCATGTTTATGCATTTTAGACGAACATTTCTGTCATCAGGCTGACAATGCCCATTGGTGGGTTAAACCAATAGATTATAGCTAATAAAAAACAAGAAAATGAATACCTGGTTTGTTGTGATTGATGTACTCATTTAGACAGGAATATTAATAAAGTATAATACTGTGTGTTTAACACAACTTAATCACAGAAAACTCCATGCAATCTATAAATCACTGAACTTGATCGCTGGGAATTCCTTGTATTGTTGAACTCTTGATAGTAACCAAGAAAGAAATCTGTTTTGTGATATGTACAGTTTAGTAAAGAGAAATGGTGTTTGTGATAGGTGGACCAGGAACAGATGGAGAAAATCTTGTCTCTCATATCCAGTGGAAAGCAGGAAGGTGCCAAGCTTGCAACAGGGGGGAACCGTGTAGGTGACAAGGGCTACTTTATAGAGCCCACTGTGTTCACAGATGTACAGGACAACATGAGGATTGCCAAGGAAGAGGTTTGTGACATTAATCTCTTATCCATATATGGACATTGACCATTTATTGGCAAAAGAAACTTATGGCTGCATTTGATACGTTTTGTTGGTAATATTCATGGGAGATTTTTAAATTTCTGGTATTCATGGTTAATAAAGGTAGTGCAAAATTAAATAGGCGGTAGCACTCAAAATCTCAGAAAATATCTGTTATGCCGAATTTTCTAATGTATCATGATGAGGCATGCATGTTTTCATGCTTATCAAGTATTGTGTATTTAACAAAAATTTTGCATGGCACACAAGGTCTTATCTACATATATTAAGTTGATGGAACTATTAAATGTTCAGAACAGAGTGAGGGTATTGTTGTTTACATGTTCTTGCTATGTTACTTTTATCAGTGGATAGACTTATCTCCACAACTCCTACTGTATTGTTTTTCTAGATTTTTGGCCCTGTGATGCAGATCATGAAGTTTAAGACAATTGAGGAGTTGATAGAGAGGTCACATGACACAATCTATGGTCTTGCTGCTGCTGTCCACACCCAGAACCTGGATAAGGCATTGTACTTGGCCAACAGCCTGAGGGCTGGCTCAGTGTGGTAATGTTCTTAAAGATCTCTCCCGATACTGTCTAATAATGACATTTTAGATCCTCTGTCTACTTAACACTGACCTCCATGATAACAATCCTAGATCCCCTGTCTACCTCACACTGACCTCCATGATAGCAATACTAGATCCCCTGTCTATCTCACACTGACCTCCATGATAGCATTCCTAGATCCCCTCTCTACGTCACACTGACCTCCATGATAACAATACTAGATCCCCTGTCTACATCACACTGACCTCCATGATAGCAACCCTAGATCCCCTCTCTACGTCACACTGACCTCCATGATAACAATCCTAGATCCCCTGTCTACCTCACACTGACCTCCATGATAACAATACTAGATCCCCTCTCTACGTCACACTGAGCTCCGTGATAACAATACTAGATCCCCTGTCTACGTCACAATGACCTCCATGATAACAATCCTAGATCCCCTCTCTACGTCACACTGACCTCCATGATAACAATCCTAGATCCCCTGTCTACCTCACACTGACCTCCATGATAGCAATACTAGATCCCCTGTCTACGTCACAATGACCTCCATGATAACAATCCTAGATCCCCTCTCTACGTCACACTGACCTCCATGATAACAATCCTAGATCCCCTGTCTACGTCACAATGACCTCCATGATAACAATACTAGATCCCCTGTCTACCTCACACCGACCTCCATGATAGCAATCCTAGATCCCCTGTCTACCTCACATTGACCTCCATGATAACAATCCTAGATCCCTTCTCTACGTCACACTGATCTCCATGATAACAATACTAGATCCCCTCTTTACGTCGCACTGACCTCCATGAAAGCAATCCTAGATCCCCTGTCTACCTCACACCGACCTCCATGATAGCAATCCTAGATCCCCTGTCTACCTCACACTGACCTCCATGATAACAATACTAGATCCCCTCTCTACGTCACACTGACCTCCGTGATAACAATACTAGATCCCCTGTCTACGTCACAATGACCTCCATGATAACAATACTAGATCCCCTGTCTACCTCACACTGACCTCCATGATAACAATACTAGATCCCCTGTCTACCTCACACCGACCTCCATGATAGCAATCCTAGATCACCTGTCTACGTCACACTGACCTCCATGATAACAATACTAGATCCCCTGTCTACCTCACACTGACCTCCATGATAACAATGCTAGATCCCCTGTCTACCTCACACTGACCTCCATGATAGCAATACTAGATCCCCTGTCTACCTCACACCGACCTCCATGATAGCAATCCTAGATCACCTGTCTACGTCACACTGACCTCCATGATAACAATACTAGATCCCCTGTCTACCTCACACTGACCTCCATGATAGCAATCCTAGATCCCCTGTCTACCTCACACTGACCTCCATGATAGCAATCCTAGATCCCCTGTCTACGTCACACTGACCTCCATGATAACAATACTAGATCCCCTGTCTACCTCACACCGACCTCCGTGATAGCAATCCTAGATCCCCTGTCTACCTCACACTGACCTCCATGATAGCAATCCTAGATCCCCTGTCTACGTCACACTGACCTCCATGATAACAATCCTAGATCCCCTGTCTACGTCACACTGACCTCCATGATAACAATACTAGATCCCCTGTCTACCTCACACTGACTGATAGCAAAATTGATTAATTTGTTTTTAGTTAATTGAGATATTGATTATTGATAGGACTGATCTATTCTGAGTGAATAGTGATCTGTTTTTGTTTTGAAATTTTACTGTTAAAATCTATATTGCAGGGTAAATTGTTTTGATGTTTTTGATGCGGCCCAGCCCTTCGGTGGCTACAAGATGTCTGGTAATGGTCGTGAGTTGGGAGAGTATGGACTTGAAGCCTATACAGAGACCAAAGCTGTAAGTCCTTCAACTTTATCAGAATTGATTTATTCTTTTAGATTTCTTTTAATAACATTGCTGCTGTATTTTGAGGTTTGTAGTTCTATATTTGCGGTTTTATGAACAGAACTTCAGTTTTCAGGACAATGATGATCTTGGTCGTTGAAGGGGAAAAAAAGCAGTTGTAAAATTACATGCCAACTATAGAAGTTGGAAAATTTTATTTTTAAAAATTTGGTCTGTAGAAAGTAGATTTCATCTGTTTGGTCTAAGATAAGACTTTTCGTGTCATCATTTGGAGTAAGGTACACAATCAGAACATTTTGGTGCCAAATTGAATTTGTTCCATTTAGAGACAGGTATAAACAATATTTCATGGGCAAAGTTGGAGATATTTGGCAGTTTGTGGTTTAGTTATCCAAACAAGCAAGGAACAATGAAATTTTACACATTATAAAAAAGTTATGCCGACACACACAATTTTGTCTACGTTGTGTTGATATTTTGTCTGATGTAAGCGCTCTGTATAAAAAAAAAACTAAATTGATGCTGAGGCAAATTACACCTCTGTTACATCTCTCAAAAACATATCATGTCTAAACGTCGAGAAACAATTTTTTTATTTTATCATTTCAGGTTTGCATCAAAGTACCTCAGAAGAATTCATAAATTATGGAGCAAGCACCGGATCTATTCCAAAAGTGCATTTTTGTTTTCATTTTGCTGAAGTACTGTTTTATATTTCTGTTGAAAGCCTTCTTCAAGGACTAGAATTTATGACTCAAATCAAGTTTGGTGCAACACAAATAGGTATATTGAAAGATGTTTTATGATAAATTTATATTTTATGTGTTTGATTATGTGTAAGTTCAAGCTGTTAGAAGTAGTAGGATACCTTTGCAGGTCACCATTTATATTGGTAGGTGGTGTCAGTCAAACCCACACCAGATAGTGTACAAGATATCATTTGTCCAAGCAGACAATGCAAATAATTCTGAGGAGATGATGTACCTCTTGAAATGTAACACCTTTACATTTTTTTTAATCATAATTATGTTTCATACACTTTACTTTCAAAGATTTAATGTGTTGAAATAAAATATATGTATATAAAAAAAATTAAAAAAAAAAAATACGGTTTCTTTACTATGTTTCTGAATTATTTTACACTGTTTGATTCTACATTAGATTTCAATTTTAAACACCTAAATGTAGTTGTCATTCAGGGAAATTGGATCGCATATTATTTAGTAACCCATTAATTAGATGAGCTTAATGATTTTTTTTTTGAGTTCTTAACCTGATTATAGCATATCAGAGTATATATGTTTTAAGTTAAGTGGATATTGGAGTTTGACAATTGAATGAACACAACTACATATGATTAACCAAGAAGGTGTAGAATGTATAGCTGTCTTTTACAGCCATATCCTGGAGATATATATACGATGTAGGCTTTCTGGAACAGCCTTTTTGATTGTCTGTTTCCCTCCTTTAGTCACAACTGGTTGTATTCTACAGCTGATATGTTGCGGTCTTTCGACAATATGTGAACACTTAATGTTAAAGAGACGGAAAATTTACTGGAATGTCATAGATTAAAGATATATTGTATGTCAATATTATTTTCTATGGACTTTTTGAATGAAAATTGAAACATTCAAATGAAGTATTTGGTATTTTGTTGATCTTCTCAGTATTGTTAAGTCACAGTATTGGATGCCAAATTAGATGGTCACCACTTAGCAAGTCCTACAATCAAATCAATTCTAAAAACAAGAAATATACCTATGTTTATCTATTACACCCACGAGGAGCCCCGTATTAACTTGTGGAAATACTTGTGCAAGTAGCCTCTATTACTCAACCACTTCTTCTCCAGAAAATCCATCGAAGAAGAGCGTGATCAAATAAACCATTCCTGTCTTTTGTGTCATTTTTAGCTCCACTGTCCCCAAGGGGTCTCTTGCTCTAAACTAAATTGGAATTCATGATTTATTTCCAAGATATTTTGGTAACTAACTTTTTTTGCTCAGTTGGAAGATTTGTCTTGTAAACACTTCAGGTCATAACTAAGCATTTGATGGTGCATTACCCCATAAAAAATTTTCAAGAAATTATGTACTGTTGAAATTAACAGAGTTATCTCCCTTCTCAAGGTACTTTCCTGTGTAAACAGATCAGGTTTTCGTTTTACTCATGAGGTAAATATATCTTCAGTACCTGCCAAGTATTAATTGTTTTAAACTTTTTGAAATCTACTAATTGAATGTCTCTTCATGCAAACTTACAAAAATCATGATTGTACCCCTAGTTATAGTGGCTTACCAATGTTGAATGTAATGTTTAGTCTTTTGGAATAAGATGAAATTATCGAGACGAATAGGCACTCACTCCAGATAACTAACATCTGTAGAAAAATGCCACATGACTAAATATCATTGAATGGCCCGCATATCTAGCAGAAAGATGAATTAGACACAGTTTGCTACATAAAACTGTACTAGATGTACACATCATGATATTCATATAGATCAATTTCTCACTGAAATACAATGTGTTTCTGCTTATAATTCATTAAGCAGAACTCTGCTTCCTTTTAAATCCATTCTTAGGGCCTTGACCTCTCCTAGTCATAATTTCTGCATGCATATCAATTATGTCGCAATCCACATGTTGAGGCCATATCAACTATACATCTGGGTCTATCTGAAAGACAGATTGCCAGCCATTCTTTGCATATGCTAACTGGGTTTGATGGTAGACATTGTGTTCTTGCCAGCTTTAGGATGGGCGATGTACATATATATAGCAGTTTTTGTCAGGCAGGTAGGTCAAAAAGGTACATTAAAATGATGACATGGCACAGTGTCCAGTGTCCATCAACTTCTCAAAAAGTGCTGCTAGACATGAACAACTGAAGAGAATTTGACCAAATTTAGTCAGAAATGTCTTGAGGGGAGTAGGAATTAAGTTTGTAAAAATTTTGGTTATAGACCCACAGGGGCCTGTCATGCAGAGCTCAAATTGGGAAATTTAGCAAGTTCTTTAAAATCCTCCTCCTGTAGGAATGAATGGATAGTGCGCAAATTTTGTCTGAAGCATGCTCAAGTAAAGAGGAATCAATCTTGTATAGATGTAAGGCCCTTAGGGAAATATAGAAAATTAATTAGAATCCTACTCCTCCTCTAGGAATGATTTGATTTTGCTCAAATTTTCTCTGAAGCATTCTTGGATGAAGGCTAAATAATTTTTAGCTCATCTGGCCCAAAGGGCCAAGTGAGCTTATGCCATAGCGCGGTGTCCGTCGTCCGTCCCTCCGGCATCCGTCAACTTTTCATTTAAACAACTTCTTTTGAAATACTGAAAGGTGTAGAGTTATCATATTTGGCTGGAAGGTTCCTTTGATGAAGTCAAACAAAGTTTGCAAAAAGAAATGACCTTGACCCATATTCAAGGTCACAGAGATCAAATGTATTAAAACATTTAAACGGCTTCTTCCAAAATACCGGACGGCATAGAATCATTATATACAGCTGGAAGGTTCATTTGATGAAGCCCAACAAAGCTTGCAAAAAGAAATGACCTTGACCCATATTCAAGGTCACAGAAGTCAAATGTGTTTAAAAAAATTTAGGCGACTTCTTTCAAAATACCGGAAGGCCTAGAATCATTATATTAGGCTACTCTGTTCCTCTTATGGTGTTCTACAAAGTTTGCTAAAAGAAATGACCTTGACCAATCTTCAAGGTCACAGGAGTCAAATGTGTTAAAACATTCAAACAATTTCTTCTGAAATATCGAAAAAAAGCCTAGAATCATATTTCGCCAGTATGTTCCTTTTATGAAGTCCGAGAAAGTTAAAGAAATGACCTTGACCCATAGTCAAGGTCACATGAGTCAAATGTGTTAAACGTGGAACATATGCACAGATATAGTAATGTTGGTCATAAAGATCCAGGTGAGTGATGTAGGCCCTCTGGGCCTCTTGTTTTTATATACGATGGGTCTCGGTCCCTTGGGGAGAAAGTGGAGATGCCCAATATGGTAAACGGAGCAAATTCTTCGAAAAACCTTCGCCTCCTCCAGGATTTTATTTTGTGTAAATTTGGTTTGAAGTATTCATGGGTGAAGGGGAATCAATCTGGTATGAAATGTGGACTGGCATCCTGGGGCGAGAGGCGCAGGGTCCTGTTAGGGAAAGGGTAAATTATTTATACTTCCCTTGTAGGAGTGGTTGGATTTTGCCCAAATTAGGTCTAAAGCATTCTTTAGTGAAGGGGAATCAATTTTGTATTCCAGGTAAATGTTGGGTCTAAGCCCACTTGGGAGGGAGGGATGGGGCCAAATAGCGAATTCTTTTTAAAATCATGTTACTCCTGTAGGAATTATTCGATTTTACACGAGTTTGGTTGTTGCATCCTTGCATATATAAACAGTGGACCTAGGCCCCTTGGGCAAGAGAGGTGGGGCCAAATTGGAGAAAATTAGAAAAAAAATTCTTCTTCAGTATGTCTGATGCATGATTGGGTGAAGAGAAATCAATTGGTATAAACGATGGATCTCTACCCCTGGAGTTCGAGGGGCTGGGTCGAAGAGAAGAAATAGAGCAAATTCTTTAAACTCCTCCTACAAAATGTCGGGACTGAATTGTGAAATTTCTCTAAAATCCAAAATCTCAAAAATGTAGGGCCCAATTGGGGGATTGTAAATTCTTAAAATCCTTCTTCTATAAAAGTTTAGTGGATTCTGATGAAGCCTCCGTCCTTATCGCGTCAAAAACTATGCAGGAAGTAATGGCGTTCTTTCTAATGATCAAATGACAAGGAAATGTCCAGATGGCATAACGCTTCTATATATAGATATGAAATTCTTTTAACAATTTAATGGGCACCATAGGGTGTGTATTACAAGTGTCGGTGAGTGCAAAATAATTCATATTTTACATACTGTTTGGAAAAAAATGTGCTTCCACGGACTTGCACGTCTGAGATATTAAATCTACATACGTTCGGAGTGGAAGTATCGGACCTTCGACCGTCCGAGTATCAGGCCTTCGACAAAGGTGTCTGTGAGGCCATTGTCTTGTTCTATATCTTTCATTAATTCCGTATGATTTGATGGTCCACTATGAGATGCCTCGTTAGTAAACTGTTTAGTGGACGACATCGCACGTTCATAGTTCACTTGAGTTAAATGCCGTGCACAGCTCGTATCGCAGTTACTATATTTCACTGACTTTGACATACTCGCGACAGAATGGTTATGTCTCATCAGGATATAAATAGTTTTCTAGAATAAGTATTTAAATTCATTAGTTTATATAATGTGCAAATACTTGTCTCTTACACATGGAGAATGAAATAGCAGATCAGCTTGAAGAAACAAGCCAGCACAGAATTCACTATAGATGGGACATTCACAAAGGAAATTATTTTTTGACCAGAATATGAATGTAAAGAGGACAGAAACCATGGTCCTCTAATAAGTTTATATAATGTCCTGACTAACGTTATATGAAAACATTCGAGACGTAATTTGGACAACTGACAACGGAAATGACGTGGGCTTTGCGATGTGACGTAATGTTTGACACTGGTATCATTTCAAAAACATCTGTTTATTTATTTATTTTTTTTTCGTCTGGTTTATTTTTCCGCGGCTTAGTAAACCACATAATTGCATCCCCTTTTCTCTCACATGACCATTACCATTCACTATATGGAATATATTTGATTTTGTCGCACGCGCTTCCCAAGAATTGCCCCTTCAAGTATGTGAGGTGTTTTCCTTAAACCCAAGTATACTTTCACATCACGATTCTGTCTATGTTAATATGACGTTGATCTGAGTGACTTAATTATACTTGCAGTGTACATAAATATAGGTTTGACAAATGATTCCAAAAGTTTGGTATAGACTCTGTATCATTCCTCTAGTAGAGTAGAATTTACTTCAGAGAATTCCTAGGGCGGCACTAGCAGATTTTCTAAGTTCTTTCAACGCAAATTTTAAAGTAAGATATTAATTGAACCACAGACCGAGATAGTGATATTCATCTTTAACTTTCACAATTATATCGTCTAAAAGAAGTCAGGAATCTGTAACAGGTTGAGATGGATGACGGAAGTGAACATTTGACTTGCTGATGATTACTGATAGTTTCCATTTTTACACTAAGTACTGACAAAGTCTAGAAGTTTCTGAAGCTTATCTGATGCAGACGCCATAAAAACAATGCCATCGGCATAAAACAATGACATGATGTTCAGATCATCACTTGATACTATTATCGAACTGACGTAACCCTGCAATAAAAGCATTGATACATAAGGAAAAGGTGTCGGCGAAGCCTGAATTCTAATAAAATTTGCTTTACCTGTTTATACTTTCATGGGGTTTTTCCAATAGACATTGAAAATATAAAATCTTTCCTTAAAAAAAATAAACGACTTCTGGGAATTAAAAAAATGAAATTATACTAAATAAGAAGCTGGGGTTAAATGTCAGCAGTGTCAATACACACTTCCTAATTTGGGGTTTTCCAAGGTGGTTACCTGTTTATTATTTAGCATTCAAAGTTTAAATCCCAACCTTACAAAACCAACAAGATAGAACGTGTGGATTCGCCGTTATTCGTATGGCTAACAATACACGAACGAACACTGCGATCAATATGTATTTGTACTTATAGGTAATCTAAAATCGTCTCGTGGGTTTTCCCTTACGTCAGTCTCTTCCTTCTTCACACGTACAGTGGTCAACCAATGAGAGTGCTCGGCAGGAACCTATAAGTAATTGTAAATCGTATGTGTAAGCGTAATCAAGTACTAGGTTCTAACCTGCTTACGTCCAAAAGATTGGATTAAGTACAGGTAAGTTGATGTTACTTCAATAAGGACGAGACTGTGTGTTGCTGTTTAATTCAGTGTTTGACTATGCTGTATCAAATTCTGAAAATATCACTACTAATCATATATTTTCGTGGGGCTAAATTTTCGTGGTTTTTATTTTTCAAAATAACTACTTTTTTGTGGACACTTGAATTCGTGGGTAGATATAGACCAATGAGTTAAATTGTACAAATTGTACAGATTGTGGGCATATGAATTCGTGGATTCAGAATACCATGGAAATCAACGAAAATAAATGATTTTATAGAAATTTTCCTACCTTAACGTTAAATATACACGATTATTACAAATATATGTTTGCATTTCGAGCAGTGAAAAATGAAAATAACAATGTACTCTAGAAATAGTGTCATTTCCAATTAATGACGTCAATGTTACAGACGGTGTATTGCTACATAACGTAAACCATGTGTGTTGAAAACATAGGGTTCAAGAAATGTTTTATGATTCATGAAATTATATTTTGTTGAAATTAATTTTCACGTGGTTTTTAGTTTCTGTCAAATTTACGGTTGAAATCAAATCTTTCGCGTATTCAAAATATACGAATATCAAAGAGTGTCTACAAACTTTTTGATGAAAATATTTTAGATGTATCTGGTTAACTTATTTTCTGCGTATTGCTTTAAGAATGTATGAAAATCACGTTTTACCGGAAATAGGGTGTATTTCCATAAAATATCAATTCTAACGTAATATCATAGACTTATGCATTTTGATGCACTTTATTTCTTACCGTTGTAATTTTTTTTCCTTAACAAGTTGTAGGATATCGTTTTGTGACAGCGTAACTGACGTTGTGATTCCGTTTTAGCGTGAAAAAAACAACGTTTTTTCCGTTGCTAAGGATCATTTCTCGAATATAACCCTGGAAGGCTATAGACGAGTTCAACGAAAATCACGGAAACTAGCATTTTTAAGTTTTTTTCTTTTTGCTTATTATCATTTTTCTGTATTTACATGAAAAAATAACTTTACTGGAGGTTTAAATTTGTGTCAAAGAGTGTAAAAGCACTGCGATTTCTCGATACCTTTTAAATAATCGATAAAATTCGTGAAACGACTGGTTTAAAATACAGTCTTTGTAGGAAAACGTGTGTTTGACACGTTAACTTTGTAACTAGATATGCGAGTACTCAAAACAGAAAGCTGTACATTTCAAAACATCTAGCATAATATGATTATTCCATTGAAATATACACTCAATACATGTAAGTGTTCTTTATAGTTAGTATTTTAGTTCACCTGGTCCGAAGGACCAGTGGGCTTATGCCATGACGCAGCGTCCGGTGTCCCGCAACATTTTATTATTTAAAAAAATAAAAAAAATTATTAAAAATTGCTGCTAGCCATAAACGACTGACTAACTTTAACCATTTTATTCAAACGAAGGGGAACCATGTTTGTTAAAATGGTAGTTTTCGGCCCCCAGAGGCCTTGAAGGTGGAGCCTAAAATGGAATCATATAAAAATTGCTTTGAAATCCTTTTCTTCTTTAGGAACATGATTTGATATTTTCCAAGCGTGGTCAGAAGCATCCTTTGGTTAAGTGAAATCAATATAGTATAAACGGCGGATTTCGACCCGTTGAGACGGAGGGGCGGGGCCCAGCATGGGAAATAAAGAATTGCTTTTCTAAATCCTGCTTTTGTGAGAATTCCTGGATTCTGTCGAAGTTGATCTGAGAGATGAGAAAGGGACTCGATTTTGGATCAAGAATCGGTCTCTGCCCCCTGAGACGGGAGGTGTCAGGCGCAATAAATCCTACTTCTTCTGAAGGAATGATTGAATTTTGACAAAATTTGGTCTGATACGTCCTTGGATGAATTCGATTCGTTCAGTAGAAATTAATGGATTATGTCCTTGGTTTGTCTGAAGCATGCTCTGGTGGAGGGGAATAAGTGTTATATAAACGTTGAGTCTCGCCCCTTCCCAAATCCTTTAAAAATACTTCTTTTCTTGTAGGAATACCTGGATACTATCCCAATTTGGCCTGAAACATTCTTGAATAAAGTGGGTCAAGTAGGGGGAATAAAGCACTTTGGGTGAAAAAAAACTAAGTTTTGTATAAACGGTGCATCTGAACACTCATGCCCATCCCCCATGGGACAGAGGTGCGGTGCCTAATAGGGGAAATAGATAACCGGTCGCTTAAATACTTCATTATTACTTTAAGTGAAGCATTTTCAGTTAACTAAACCAGGTGAGCGTTACCGGCCCTATAAGCATCTTGTTTTCTTTATGTTATATAATAGAGTATCAGTTGTCAATATTGTTCATTTCATCGTCATAATATATATATCCATTGTCTTTTTTTAGGTTACGCTTCCGGAACGAGTACCGTGTCAGCATTGGTCCCTGTGAGACACTACTTGTGGCAACTGCACAGCGATAATATGTCTATCGTTAACGTGCTACTAGGCGTAGCTTTGGTGTGGATGTCAGTCCTAGCGTGCTTCACAACACTCGCTACATGTCCATACAGCTACGTTACTAACATCATAGACCTATCGGGTGGTTTGAACTCGGGTATAACTGTTCTGCGAAAAACGGATTTAGCCGACTGTCCAAAAAACGCCACTACCTTAAATATATCAAGCAACAGTATACAAACACTAGATGGCGATGTCTTTGACGACTTCTGGAATCTTTTCAGTATATCACTATCGTATAACCAAATCAGGTCCTTTCCTTCTGGGCTTCTGAAGAACATGCGTAGTCTGAAGCATTTTGAGGCCAACAACAATGCACTGGAGGCTCTGGAAGATGATCTCTTTATGGGCTTGTTGGACGTTCCTCTTGTCAACCTGGTTACCATGGATTTTTCCCACAACAACATAAGTAATATTGGTTCAAATGTGTTTCACGCAGATATGGCGTTAATCCTGAACGTTGACCTGTCATTTAACAGCCTGGTTTCCTTCGAGCCCTGGCCGTATATTCCACAGACCGATCAGAATGATGGTGATGAAGTTATCTGGAATTTTCAAAACAACTTCATCGTTAATTTCACAAACAACATGAATTGGGTGTACAATCTAATTGAAGAATATGAACACGAGATATACCTCCAGAACAATCAGCTGAGCACAATCAATAAGGACATGATGAACATATACAATCATGGATTTATCGGGGACTACCTCTCTGAGTTTCTAACTTTCCATCTAAATATAACACAAAATCCTTTCTTCTGTGACTGTAAGCCCTATGTATATGTTAAAGCACTACACGAGTCAGTCATGTTTTATCTACAAGTAGATGAACACCGTTTCATTTGTAATGGTCCATCCAATCTCCAGGGTATCGACTTCATGCATGATTTAGAACTTGACGAATTTCTCTGTAACCTGACTGATAATTGTCCTACAGGTTGCTTTTGTCAGGAACGTCCACATTCACGCGATCTCTTCGTGGACTGTCGAGATGCGAGCATAACGTCACTTCCGCTGATGCTACCTCATGCAACGTATGGAAATATATCACTTCATCTGGACAACAACAACATTAAGTATTTGACAAAAACTAACTATTCCCATCAGATAAGCAATTTGACTGTTAGCAATAACCAACTGACATCTATCGATTCCAGCATCATTATGGGTATGAAAAATTTAAAATATCTGAACTTGGAAAATAATGGAATAAACTACATTCCAAAAGAGCTACAGCTACTTGCCTTCTCCAACATCATTATTTCCGGTAACCCCTTGTTATGTGATTGTAATATGACATGGATGGCAGAGTGGATGAATCTTTCTCCAGGTGCGAAAGATTTGCAGGCCACGTGTGATAACGACGGAGAAAGCCTCTCAATATCTACAATCACTGAAGACGATCTCATCTGTAGCTACGACAAGATCATTATAATTTTGAGTGTGACGCTTGGCGTGGTAATTGGGTTGGTTGCCATGGTTATTATCACTGCAAAACGATGTCCGTACGAGACCAAAGTACTCATGTACAAATTTTTCAACATTCATCCGCGAGACAAGTACAAAGTAGATCAGGAGCCGAACAGAGAGCACGATGCCTACATCTCTTATTATCAAGGTGAGAAAAACGAGAGTTGCCAAGTGAGACAATGGATGAAAAAAGTATTACTCAAAAAGCTTGAAAAAGCGTCAAAGAGGAGGTATACTGTCTTTTGTTACGAACGGGATTATACAGCTGGTAGGTGGCAAGCTGAAGAAGTGATGGAAAATATGGCTAAGAGTCGAAGAATCCTGCTTATTCTCTCACCCGAGTTCATCGCAGACAAATGGTGCACGTTCGAGGCAGATAGGGCGGAGTATGCACACATCAATAGCAACGGTGTTCATGGTACGATTATATATATATTGTGGAACAAACAAATGCGTTTTCAACTCGAGAGTGAGCCGTGGAAGTCGCGGCTGAAAGATAAAACTGTCTTGTGCCCCGACGATAGATTGTTCTGGTCTAAAATAAGGTATGAACTTCCGGTAAAAACGATGAGGATAGTAAGAAGGAACGAAACTATGCCATTCAGTAACGGTATAACTAAAGAAGAGGATAACGAAATTGTGAATAATAGACAAAATGGTATGAAGGGCACTACTTTTCCGGCAAGCACAGATTCTCTAGACCCATCTGTAGTGATAGTCGATGAAACCAGTGTCGGAATAGAAGTATCTCAAAATATATAAATAACATTGTCAGTGACACAAAACTGGAACATACACGGTCGATCAGACACTCTAGACGTAGTCTGAAGTAACATTTACAAAAAATTCTTAACAACTATGTTCATTTGAAAGCGGACGAACGACGGAAATACTAATTATACAACTGTATAGATATTTCTTAGCTCCAAGTAAGCGGGCATAATAAAATGAAATGGATTTAATTCTCGACTCCATTTCTTTTGGAATGCCAACACCACCGTTAAGCTCTAGGAACATTATTATATCACCCTAGAACCGATAATAACTGAGGACATTTTCACACTTCAGTGACTTAGTGAGGTAGAATTTTATATCGTAATGATCTACTCTATCTAACAACATTGATTTACATTATAACGAATTTAAGTGGGCAAGTAGCAACTTTGTATGCAGAAACAATTAAATCAAGACATAACCTTCTCTATGCTAATATATACTTCACTTAAAGTTATAAAATATCAGATCCATTTGAAAATACAGTTTAGCTGTTCATGTACTCGAGTCCAAAACGGACGACGTGCCCGCTTTAAAATGTTATTGTTTTTACAATAAGGACAAATACTCTACTTCTATATCAATATCTAGAAGTATCGTAACATATTTTAGAGATTATATATTAAGTATTTATTAAAGTTATTGCTATATTAGCTGCGTGATGTTTTTGTAGTCATTCTAACAAAAATATTTGACGCAAAGCAAGAAATGTTAACAATAAAAATTATCACTATTATATGTATGTACATGTTAATGTTTTTGGGTGTGGTTTAACATCGTTCGCAATAAAAATAATTTCATAATCAATATACGATTCACTGTGTGGTATATATAAATATGATGATTACTTATGAAATAGAAAAACGTTGCCAATGATAACTGCAATTTTTAAAAAGAAACATATCCAAAATGGAAGCTGCTTCAGTAACATTATGCATCGAAAGAGACTGCTAGCTTGTACCAAGTGTACAAAGTTCCAGGTAGTTCTTACACACTTTTGTTGTCATGCTCTGGAAACCGTGACTATTGCATATATGTTTCTTATCCGTTTCCATGGTTTTGGGGAAAAAAGAGAGTGAAACCCTCCATTGCAAGAGGCACCTCTAGAATGACCGGATATTAAAGCGGTCAAAGTTATCTTTAACGGTTTACGTAAACTAAACGGCAAATTTTAGTTTGGCCTGTTTCAATGGCAACAAAAACAATCCATATAAAATGTGAATTCGTGGCAAAATGCGCAACCAGAATGCTTACTTGATAGTTGTGTAAAGTTTCGGGTAGTTGTCTTGTGCGGTCTCCAAACAATTGAAATTTGTTGCAAGTTGGCCTGTCTTTTCCCAGTGAACACAAAAGAGGAGCTTACAATGCACTGCCAAAGTACAAGCTTAATGACTGGAGAAAGAATTGATAAGTTATCTTCAAAGTTCTGGTCGGGATATTTGAAATTTGTAATTTAGCCTATTTATTTTTGCATATAACAGAAAAAAGTATATAAACGGAAAGTTTTTATGTGGCAAGATTCACACTGGAGTACTAGCTTGAAAACAGTACAAAGTTTAACCAATACTGTACCTACCAACTAGTCTCTCATAGCAAATATACAACGAATAAATAGATAAATAAATAAATTCATTTCCCTCTTTTTAAAGTTAAATGCCAGTTTTATGTTTATCATCGTGGTTATGAAGTCAGTGTACGTCCTAGGAGAAATCAAAGACATTTTCAGACATTGGAGAATGTACTGGCTATTTTCCATCTATCCCGTAAAGGGGAACTAGTAGTTGTTACAAATTCTATCAAGTGTTTTATTATACGCCATATTTTATTACCCGAGTCTAGAAGTTTATTTAAAAGGCTTCAACAAGTTTACTAGTATTCCTAAATCATATATTAACCTCACATATTCCAGATTTAGATGGTCTAGGTTATTGATTCGGTGTACATTTACATTTTTGTTTACATATACTGCTACGATGTATACCCCCACGTGTCTGCAATTTAAAACGGGTGGGTAGTATTTCTATTCCATACATGATATTACCTATTTTAATTTAAATACTTTAAACATTAAAATGAGCCGATGATAATTCGTATCTGTTATCCCTGTTACGCTGTGCCATATTATCAGGTACTGCTGTATTGATCAACCAGCATTCAATGCCTACACAGCCATGTACACATGTAGTAAGTATATACCACGGAATTTTATCGACGATAGTAACAGCACTGTTAAAAAATGATGGAGGAAAGTGGTGTTAGTTTGGGGAGTGATTGGTGTTGTTATTTGACATTATCACAACATTCTAAGAACGGAAATAAAAATATAATAACTGGGAAAGACCCAAACTTTTAAAGCCAAAGTGGATTCATCGTCACCAGAAGACCTAGTATGATAATCTTTTTGGGTGTGGAAGTTGAGCTCTGATGCCGTGAATATTCACACTTATTCGGTAAAGATAATACAGGCACAGATAGTAAACTTGTGAAAAGAAGGAAATACTTTGCTCATAGCACAATGATATATACGACAAGAAAGATATAAACACTTGTTACAGATTTTACATTTTCAGTGCGTTTTTGAGGTTAAAAATAGGTTATTGTAAATAGAAGTATGTCACCTGATACACGACATATACCGCAGGCAAATGGTAATACTGGTATTCCAGTTCTAACCGATCATATGTTGTTTCTGAAAATCTCATCAAGTTGGCATCGTTCAGCAGAAAGCTCTCTTCAATAGGCATATATCGAGTGTTGTTTAGGTTTCAACGGGAACGAATGATTTCCTAAAGAACATGAAATCAAGGGCACGACAGCTTACCACTTACGTTGTGTTATAATCATGATGATCTCGGTTTCGCCATTGACAATCAACTATTAGTAGACAGGAACGTTGCTTCTAAAACCTATAGTGTTTAAACATGTTTCGATGTCCATGGCCTAGTTTCTGATAACAAGTTTGAAGAAGAAGATGATATCGATTATGATATTAAAATACGATTCTTATTTTGAGTGTCTGACATTTTTCGTGTTGGCCTACAGTAGAGGCCATCTTTTCGGCAGTGAAAAGCAAATTCAATTTTAGAGATTAGATCCTGGTTTTTGACCCTCGACCTCGCTGTTATTCTTAAATTCAAAGATATTAATGACTGACATTGTTTTTTACCCATAAACACTTGAGCTGTCAATTAAAGAAGGATGTCAATTAACTTGCCAGTGTTTTTTCTGTTGTTAAACCTGTGAGTCTTTTGTAATCATTTGGAATTTCCATTTAATAATGTATATATATATACGTATACATATGCACGTGTATTTTTCTTCCGCGTAGAATAATGAAATCTCAGTATAAATACTTGGCAGCCTTGAAATTACATTTGAAAATTAATCTTTACAATTGTCACTCGGTGACATAAGCCCAATAAAGATCTGTGTCCCCGAGACACCAATGATAATTGTTTGTATGCTATTAGACACTATTGAATGTAAATAAGCTGATATTAGGTGCTAACATACCCGATAATTTTCTATATGTTCGATCATGATTTGTTATTAGCCTAACTTGACAAAACGTGGATATATCAAGTTCATTTCATCTTTAAAAAAAAAACTTCCTGGAGGAACAATGGAGAAACAGATTGTGTAAGTCAAGCACTAATTGGTTAAGACAGTTTCATACAAGCTGGGATTTTAAACACTAATTAAAAAGAGTTTGCCAATTGGAAAAATCGTTCCGTTATTATCAGCGTTTTTGATTACGTGCCAATACAAATCTTACAACAGATTATGTGTGTATACGTACGTTCACTAATATAACATGCTTTGTTTCTTAATTCCGGGACCCAGCAATCACATACGATATCAAAGCAATGTCGGCGTTCCTTTCCCGTTGACGTTGTCACTACAAAATAGCCTTATTTTTTGTTATATCTTATTTTTTCATTAATTTTTTTTTCTGCAGAAAGTAGTCCCTATTCTATGACTCAAAATTCAAAACGTAATAAAATCATTACTTTGAAAAAAGTGAAGCCAATGAAATCTTACATTAGATATCAGCTGTTTACTTGGATTGCGTAACCTATCTCATTCTGTACCGATGTGAAATATTTGTTTTTTCTGAAAAGTGATAATGTATGTTTTATCTAAAGCGAGAAAAAACACCGGGATTTCGCCCTTTTTAAATGGTACAGTTCACGTGAACCAGGAGCGTGCAATTGACAAAATTCGCAGTCTATATGAAAGGTGGCCCTATAGCGAGTTCTAAAAAAATCCTGTGTCGATACATCTTATAAACTGAAAGTACAAAACTTCTTATAGTCTAATGATCTTGGAGTGAGGCCGTTCATTCATAAATGAGTTTGGCCCACATATTCGGTCCAAAGCCACATTCAAGATGGCTGCCACTTACAGACAGCCAGAGAGGCTCAATCGATAAAATGAATTAAAAAATGAAGATTCGTTAGATAAATCTCGCTTTGAATGGAAAACTTGTACATAATCATAGTTCGAAGAGTGCTGGTCATCTGTCCGAGGCTTTATTGTTGCTTTAGGTATCCTATCTGACTGGCCATGAACTCGAGTATAGATATTCGGAACCAATCGGAATATTGTAATCCTAGATTTCTCTGTGTGTGTGTTCGAGACTATATTTTGGTATATGATTTGATATCAAATGCTATTAGACATGGGAAATATTGGGGAAATTCAACCCTTGTCTTCGCTGGGGAGTATCTGTATTGTAGAATCGAACCTTTCAGAAATTCTGGAAGCTGGAAATCGTAAAACTTGAAACAAAGTTTACTTTAGAGAATTAATCGGTGAATTCAAAATTAATTGTGGAATAAAGATTTGCTGTAAAACCAAACGTATAAAATTATTCCACTTAAAGAATGATATGATTTGCTTTAATGCTGTATTGACGGTTGATATGAAATAACTAACTAGTGCTCAATTTATTTCAATAATTGATGGTACACTGTTAGTGATCTTATTATCCGTGCAGATAGATAAAGCCGGCATGAAGCCAGCGAATAAGTTTGTCGAAATGTAAAGTATTATTGCTTAATATTGGCTGCCTTCTTCTGTGTAACAGCAGCCACAAAAAAATACAGACACGTCCAAGTATTGATAATCAATATATAACCAGTTACAGCATTTTCTTCATTTATTCAGTCTACATACATACATGTGTGTGTTTAATGTTAAAATGTTTAAATATATTTTATTTTATATGCTTTCTGCGTCAAACAAAATTTCACGTTTACTCCTTGAATTATATTTAGCAAGAAATTGCTTACTTCACCTCAGCTTCCTTAGTTTTGCCTATGGTCATTGAATTATCTGCCCTTGATTCGAACGAGAACGAGGATTGCACAAAAAACATGGACGATGGGTTGACAAAAAGCACGGGGCCATTGTCGATCTGATCGCTTCCACAGTCATGCTAGAGGCTGCAGGATAAAATCGAGAGTTGCGGAAATGGCTATTAACCATGTTGCATTTCTTCTGGCGTTACTGTGTTTGTACCGCACGTCGGAATCAGGTGAGAGACATGTTGTGTGTATATTGGAGTTGAGAAGAAAGGGGGATGATTCTGACAGATCTATTTATCTGCTTGTGTTGTCTCGGATGATAAGTTACCACAGTTTACATTTCGAAAGTAAGGTTGACTACAAAACGCGAAAACTTCTTATGCATGGACTATGATATGAAGAATGCATTTATGTAATATTGTAATGTTGTTTACGACATATTTTCGCGATAAACACGAAATGGAGGACTGCATAATGAGACAATGGTATACAGGTGCTGGGATCTTGTTGACAGTGACGGAAATGTTTAAACGTATCAAATAAACGCTGGAAAGATCATTTCCAATTAAATATAGCAATTGCTATATTAACTGTAAATTAACACTGCTAACGCAAATTATTTTTTATAAGTTAATCTGCCACCAAATGTCAACAAAGTCCTAGGTGGTGAAACCATCGAGACAATTAAACGTCACCAGTTTTGACGAAAAATCCAAATTGAATTATCGCATGAAGACTATATGACTCTCATCGACGGAAAATTATGTTTCGTGTATGAGTTGCCCAATATATTGATATACTGACGCATGATAATAATTTTTAATGTCTAGTTTCATTTTGTGCTGTTGGTTTTGTATTCCAATTGTTGAATGATGGCCATCACACATTTTGACCTGTAAAGTATATACATTTATTAACTGGAACCCAGAATATTTCTCAACAAAGTCAACAGTCTTGAGTTTGATGGAAGATAGCTTAATTTGTGTTTGCAATCAATTTATATAATGCATATACATGAATCCAGGAGTCCAGGACACAAATATTCAAGTTCCAAAAATCACTAACTAATTTTAAAAGGTATGTATGTTCATGTACATCAAATGTATGCAAATTACCGTATTTGATCCAATAAGTGTCCAGGCCACTTAAAAAATTGCAATTAAGGTGGGGAGGGGTGTGCTTATTAGAGACCATCTTGGATGTAAAAGAAACACATTCAGTAATCAAAAATCTACTGTATGATTCATGTATTAATGAAATCACTAGTTTTTTATATGCAATAAAACCATCTTGGATATAAAAAGTTTTTTTTACGTTTTTCTGAAGTACATCTCCTTATAAACCGACTTAAAACAATTCTTGATCGTGATTAAAAGGTAAGTAAATCTTGATTTTTTGGTTTCCGAAGGGGGGAGGGGGCACTTATAGGGACATGGGCGCTTATTGGGTTGAATATGGTACATGTTATGGATGTACATATAATAAATACTGATGCGATCCAATAAGCGCCCAGGGCGCTTAAAAAAATTACAATTAAGGGGGGCGCTTATTAGAAACCATCTTAGATGTAAAAGAAACACATTCCGTGCTAAGAAATCTGCCTCCATCGAGAAAATCCTTTTTGAGGTGTTTTGTAAAAAGGTTTTCAATTCACTCTCTTTTTGTCTCCAATCGTGAATTTGCTTCCTATCTATACTGTACTGCTTTGATGCTTTGCTATTTCCCCATTCCTTGGCAAGCTCCACAATTTTTAACTTGAAAGAAATTTCATACGACTTGATTCTGCCCCCTTTGTGAGATTGTGATGTGTCTGTGGTCGCTATAATTTCAGTGTCAACCTCTATGTAACAAGGTGCACTCTGTCATTATGTGCTCGTCGATAAATTGTTTCAGAACATCTTAACATGATGACACAAGAGGGAATTTGTTTATGATAAAGATATAAAATTCCATTCGTACTTGCCTGTTTTAGCACAACTATTTTATTTGTCATTTGATATCTAATTGCTTCATTTCTTTCTGTCAGATAATCTATCACATATGAAAATATCATTTCTTAATCTGCTGTATCAATGACTATCTTACCTGTTAAGTAATGGACTATGCCTATTCAGTCGTCGTTACTGTGGCTGAGCACGTGACACCAAGGTGCAAAAGGTAAAGGTCATCTACCAAGTGGTTTAGGAATGTGTGAAAAAAATGTCTTTTATGTATGAATATTCGTCTTTGGTCAGGGAATATCATGTTTATTGGGTCGAATACGGTACTAATAATACATGTGGATGATGCATCAATCCTATGTACATAATTGTTTTGACCTCTGTAAATTGTAAGATATAGTAGTGCACAATATGATAGATGCCTTCAAAGCTCTGTCATTAAGGATGACCAAAAAAGCCATAAAAGACAAGTCATTGCTGAAATAACCAGTAGATTAAACTCTAAAGTTTATCAATATATTGAATAAAGATATACAATGAATGTATTGATATACACTACTTATGCAATGTAATAACATTTGTCTATGTATGGGATGAAAAATGACTATTGAAACCTACTTAACTCTAACTCTAACACTATCTGTTTAGTTCCTGATATATACATTTTGCCTTAACATTCAGGAATACACAATGTACCTTCTTGTACAACTATTGCTACAACTAGTCAGCTTTACTAGAACTAAAGATGAAATAGTTTTTGTGTAGACTTTCATTGTTTTTGTAGCAAACTTCCAAATTGAAGAATTGTGTTAATAGATTTTAATTTTAATAAAAGATTTTACATGTACCCTGGAAGTGAGGAGTAAATCATGACAGAAATACTCATGGAGATTTTATGTTATATATACACATTTAGTACAACGATCATAACATTGATAAGCATCTAAAACCATTGTGATAGATAAGAGTAGAAACATGCATTTTTCATATGAAAAGATTCAATGTAAGTTATATTTTTTGAAACAAAATTCTTAAATTTCATCAGATAAGTTGCATATAATTTAAGTCCAGAAAAATAGGTATTGTTAAGTTTTGATAAGGAAAGGATACACGCTGTATATGTACAATTTACTGGCACTTGACTTTGTCAAGTACACATACTTAAAGTCGTTCATAATGATGTAAAAATATGTTGGCATTAATTATGTTACGATAGAAATATGATATTTCCGTGAGATTGGATATTTCATAAAGAGATTATAATTAGACATAAGATTGTGAATACAATTAATGATAGGAAAAAGATAGAGTGCTGTTTCTCATTGTGTTACCAAAGATCTGAACAAAGATATGTTAGCAATGGAAGTAAAGTAGATGTGATGAACAGTGATCTAATGTAGACTTTCAGTTTCTTCTACCTGGTCTTCAAACAGATCAGGCCAAGCTTTCAGCTTCTTTTCATTACTATTAATAGATATATAGTATATGCTTTACTCTAAATATAACATAACATGCATGACGAGTTACGAGTTCCTTTGTCCATTATGATTCTGTAATTTGTTGTTCTCGCCAAATGTTACTTGTAAAGCCAGGTATGCACTGAGAATATTAAATACTGTACAGCTAGTATATACTTCAGTTGATATTGCATGTACATAACGTCTAACAATTGCAACCCTTTTCCTTTCATAGGAAGAACAGTGAGAACATCATATAACAAGGCCTAATATTAGACCTAATTTGAGCTCCACAATTTCCATATCTTGCATAATGTGCTGAAAATTAAGGAAGTTTTTTATTTAGATATTTAGGGGCTTTTAAGTGAGAGCAGAACAGAATAATGTTAAAAATGTATTTATTCCATATGTTGTGTATATGAGAGAAAAATAATCAATACCTAGTACTGCTTGTTCATATATGTATGATGTAGGACCTAGCAATTGTTTGAAGATTATGTAAGATTATTACAGAATCAATTTAAGTTGTTGGGATTCGTCAGTATAATTTTCAGCTTTTGTCATGATTAAAATATATAGACATTTGTATATATATATATATAAAAAGTTAAACACTGGAAAACACATGATGTTTTTCTTAATACATTATTTAAATTAGATAAGATATACTTCTGCTGTAGGAAGCAAAATCTTCTAGACAAGCATGAGGACATATATTGATGTACACGGTAATATGAATGCAGATCACTAAATAGTTTTGATACTTAACAAGAATGAGGGTACCTTTAGAATCTTGCTCCTCTACATACCAGTATACAACCATGTTTTAAAAGCGTAACCCAATCATGGGATAGTACATTGTTATCTCCTTATATGTATGGAAGATCATGCTCACCAATTCAGCAATAGTTTCACTATAATCTCATTGCCATGACACTATCTTGTCACACTACTGTCCATCTTTGTGTACAAAAGATAAACTATAGGTAGAAAGTCGTGTGATTTTATTACCATCTTATATACTTTATAATTCCAGGCTTCAAACTGGTCATTTTTCTGATCAAAGTGAAAATGTTGTCGTCAAAAAAACACCCATTATTTTGATGAATTTTCTACCTGGATATGATATGAACACACATTTTAATTACCTGACTTAGTAATTTCAGGTCCAGCATTTTAAACTGTTTCCCTTGAAATTTGCTAAAAAAAATTATAACAAGCTAATAAAATGTGTTGCCAAATATCCATATGCGCCCAAGCATTCATACGATTAAATTATGATGAAGCGTCTTTCTGATAGAATGTCTGATATAAACAGATGACTCCTTTCCTTATTCTTGACATGTTTTACATATGTGCAGACAGACAAGTTTGTTGATTTCTGATCAAGAATGGTCTATATCAGATTATTTTTTGATAATTCAGGTAACAAGACACATAGCTCAAGCCTTTAATATCCATCAACACATAAACCTATTTCCCTTTGGTGTTTGGATAAATATGAACAGTTTCCCTTCAAGGCTGCAGAACTAAACAATTAATTGAATTGAGTTGGTACCATAATGAGAAATGGTCTCAAAACTGAAGAGAAATAGGTTCAACTTTTGGCAAAACACTGGGAAAAAAACAAATAAACCATGTACATAACCAACCTTAAGAAAATGTTCCTAGATACTGTCAAGGCTGGATATTTTCCAAGATGAAAAACAAAATGAAAAAAGAAAGAAATGAAAAAATATATATATACATGTAATCAGTAGATTCCTGAAAAGTGAAAGTAATATAGAGAATGAACCATAGTCAGTTTCATGTCTTCTGTGAAAATCAGATCCATTTTGTTTCAAGATTTTTGTTAAACTATCAAAATTTGAACCATCCAAAACCACTACTTTTACAGTATATTTATAACTGCTGTTGAAATCAGCTGCTTTTAGATTCCAATGCTTGTATCTATTCCAGTATTTTAATATTTTGCCAGTCATTAATACCTGTTGTTTTATGTTTTCCAGCCTCCTTCTATGGGGACAGCCATGTGAGTCTTCCATTCTCCGATGCCTCAACATCCACAGCTATACAGCTGCGCTTCAAGACTCGCCGACCAGATGGCCTCCTCTTGCTGGCCGCAGGGACCATAGACTACCTGTCTATCACTCTCAGTGGTGGGGTGGTGCAGCTGCAAGGTGATTTTGGCTCTGGAAAGATTGTTCTCACGTCTAGTTCAGATGTTCGATTGGATGATGGGAGATGGCACCAAGTCATGGTCACCAGGAACAATGCTGTCAACACATTGCAAGTGGATACAGGCAGTAAAATAAGTGCTGTTAGTCCTGGGCAATTATTCGAACTGAATATACAGAATGCAATTTATTTAGGAGGAACTGGTGGTTTCCAGGCTCCATCTGGCATTGAATATAAATATTTCCGTGGGTGTATGAGCAATGTTGTATTCAATCGGTACAATATCATCAGTGCCGCACAGATGTTACAAGGCATGGAAAAGACATTCAAGGTATCTTGGGACTGTGATGAGGAGTTTGATGCCTCTGTTTCTGATCCTATTAACTTTACAACAAACCATTCGTTTGTTGCATTTCCACATTTACGTTTAAATACTCAAGGCTCTCTGTCTTTAGAATTAAAGACAGTGTCCCATACATCACTGCTGTTGTTTAACATTGGTCATGGCTCTCCTAGAACCAGCCTTGTGATATTGGAACTTCTGGAGAGACACATACAGTTAGTTGTGGACCGTGGGGAAGGGGCAGTAACTGTGAGAAGTGACAAACTTGTCAGTGATGGCAGATGGCATCAGGTCACGGTACGATTTTATGCCGATAATGTTATATTAGTGGTTGATGGTGAAGAGAAGACAGGGGAATTTCAGCCTGGTAGGAAAAATTATTTCTCTCTCAGAGGTCACCTGTTTATTGGAGGGGTGGGATTACATGCTACAGAGAAGGTCATCAAACAGAATCTACAGTCAGTACAAGGAGACAAAGTCAGCTCTACAGCAGGTTGTGTTAGGAATATCCAGGTTAATTCACGTCCGTTAGGCTTCCCACAAATTCAGATAAGCAAGAGTGTGTCTAGCACATGTGATTGGACATTTTCATGTGCTGATGACCCATGCTCTTCAGAAGAGACATGCCAAGAGGAGGGCGATGTGTTCCAATGTACCTGTGATAGAGACAGTTGTCAGCAGGGATTACGAGATCTACCCTCACAGCAAGATGCTACAGTAGACTCGGGGAAGAGTTCTACAAAGGAGGTGAAACTGGTTGCTGTTAAGGCTCTAGAGGTTAAGGAAGGATCACAGCAGGTCATCAACACAGAAAATATTAATGTTGTGTTTGATCGCCAATCTTATGGTATTCGTGAATCTGCTATCCAATTTCATATTGTCACACAGCCTATAAATGGCAGAATAGAAAACACTTTAGGCCGACGACGAAACAGCAATGTTTTTACTCTGTTGGACCTTCAAGGAAGTAAGATTTTTTATCAGCATGAAGGGTCTGAATTACCAGCAGATGAAGTAACTTTAGAAATGGATGTTATATCTGATAATGAAAATATTCCAGATGAACTAGTGAGGAGATTTGCTTTTGTTCTGCCTATAATAATTATACCTGTGCCAGACCCCCCTGTGTTAACAATTCTCAATAATGGCCTTATCAAAATTGTTAAAACAACAAAGATTTCTGTCTCTGATTCAATGCTGATGGTTGATGATCCAGATTCGGAGCCTAGTGAACTTGTTTACACTGTCATGTGTACCACAAATTCACAGGGATTCTTTGAGAGGTACAGCGATCCAGACCAGCGAATCACAACATTTACACAGCAGGAAGTCATAGATAACATGATCTGGTTTGCCAACAAAGGGGAATCACTCACTTCCTGTTTGATAAGTTTGACAGATGGATCTAACACCCTCAGAGACATTTCTATGGAGATGGAAGGTGTCACTCTTTCAATACAGCGGAAGGTCACTGAGGGAGCTAGGCTAGTTCATGGCAGTTTTGTTGTGTTAAGCCCAGAAAACCTACTTGTGGAGACCAATGTTCCAACTCAGGATTTGGATATACAGTATGAGATTACCCAGCATCCTTCCTATGGACAGATACAACGACTGCATTTAGCTGAACAGCGATGGATTCCTGTCAGTGTGTTTGCCCAGCGCCACATTAATAATGGGCAAGTGCGGTACATACACACAGACTTGACCAATCTTGGGGGGTCAGACCAGTTTGCCTACATTGTCATCTGCATGGACCAACAAATTAGACAACAGATATTCACAATTCAGCTAGAATCTGTAAGCATTGATGTGGTCACTTCTGATACGATCAGGATTACCAAGGGCAACCACAAAAAGATAACATCCAATGAACTCTGGGTTTTGACAAACAATGAGAATGTGGCTCAGAATGAGATCACTTTTACATTGCTTCGTGCTCCGATTCATGGCCATTTGTACAAAGCACCTGACAGTATACCTTTGTCACGTATTTTATCTAACACAGAGCCATTGCATAAGAACAGCGTGTTCACACTATTGGACATAGAAAAAGGTGGTTTGGTCTACCAGCTTTCACGTAACTACTACAGTAGCAGACATGACTTCATGGACCTCAAAATAGCTGCACCAGGTGCACGTCCAAAAATTAAAAGGTTTCACATGGAATTTGTGCCTGAAGAACAGGATGTTCGATTTGTCATCAATCGCCTTGAGGATGTAATAGAAGGAGGACAGCGTGCTATAGAACGCAGTCATTTGTACCTGGAAACAATGGACTACAGGGAGTTTGAGTATACGATTGTCAGGTTTCCCAGACATGGCGTACTACAAATTGTAGACCCTCATTCTACTGCAGTTATGAAGTCCAACATATCCAGGTTCACAAACGAAGATGTCAGAAATCTTAAATTAGTATACAAACATGATGACTCTGAAACAGATACAGATTCTTTTACATTTACTGCCCTGCCAATAATTAAAAATCTCAACCAGCTACCAACACAAGTCAACGAGATATCAGATACACTAGAAATCAACATCATGATGAGGAATGATAATCCTCCTGTTAGATTAGTAGATAAAGTGTTAAGAGTAGTGACTAACCAAGAAAAGGTCATCACATCGGACGACCTTGCATTTACTGACCCAGATATAGACTATGACACTGACCAGCTTATGTATACACGACGAGGAATCCCTAATGGAGAAATTGTGTACACATCAAATAAAACTAAGACTTACCAGTTCTCTCAGAAGGACATCAAGGACGGACTTATAACTTTTCAGCATTCAGGTGATCTCTATGGTAGGACGGTCATTTGGGTCAGTGATGGTCAGTATTACACCACAAGCTTACTTGAGATCCAAGCCTCCCCACCGGAGATCAGTTTGACCCGGAACACAGGTCTCCTGGTCAACAATGGTCAGGCTACACCTATCACTAGTCAAAATCTGAGTGTGGAGACCAATATAAACATTTCCCCAGCCAGCATCAGGTTTGTCATGATAGAGGAACCCTTACACGGCCAGTTGACCATTGGCAGGCAGGAGGTCACAGAGTTCACACTGGAGGATTTGATCACCAGTCGAGTTATGTACACTCATAGGGGCACCAGTGTTAGTGAGGATATGTTTAAATTTGCTGCTGTAGCTGGAAATGTACAAGTGCAAGACCAATTTGCTATTCGTGTCTTCCTCAAATCAAGACAACACCCTCCGAGAATTGTTCATAATGAGATCCTAGAGGTAATGGAGACAGGTGTAGCTACACTCACATCAACTGTCCTGCTTGCAAGCCACACTGATAGTCTTCCGTCAATGATTGAATATGTGGTAAAGACATCCCCACAATATGGTCAGTTACTGGTAAATGATCAGACAGATAGGACTTCATTTACACAGTCTGATGTTAATGAAGGTCTTGTTAAGTACAGCCATTCAAGAGCAGGGCTAGAACAGGACTCCTTCATGTTTGAGGTCAACAATGGATTTCAGACACTACGGGGCTTAGAGTTTATCATACAGGCTATTCCTACAACATTGCATCTTAATGTTCAAAACTTGACAGTACGAGAAGGAGGCAGAAAAGTACTGACTCCTTCCATGTTGAGACTGCAGGGACGCTACTATGATGGTAAAGATACTGCATTTCTGATAATTCAGCAGCCTCGCCAAGGTTGGGTGGAGCATGTGAGGGCAAGGGGACACCGCCACAGATTGACATCATTTTCTTCAGACGACCTTCAACAAGGGGCCATTTTCTTTGTGCATGATGGTGGTGAGATGACGTCAGATCAAATGATAGTAAAAGCTAGGATAGAAGATGAAAGAAAAGAGAGTAATGAAGCAGTTATGTTTATTATAGTTGAAACAGTTAATGATCAAAGCCCTCGTATAGTGGTTAACCTCGGGTTGGATGTGTGGCGTCGCTCTATCACAGTCATTACGCCAGAGGTGCTGCAAGCTGAGGATGTAGATACTGGACCAGACTTTCTCACTTACAGTATAACACAGCCTACGAATGGTCGTGTTGCCCTGCTCAATAACACCTACAGGCCTATTTCCAGATTTACGCAGGCCCTCATTAATGCTGGGCAGGTTGTATTCGAACACAAAGGTAAGTATTCACAATTAGTCCATCTCCAGAACAAAAGTTATTTCTCTAAGAGGATTGGGCCTCTTAGCTTATATCTGACAAAAATACTGTAGTTATTAGTCTCTCACCAGGAACTGAAGTATATGAGGAATATTTCTTCAACTTCATGTAAAGGTTCCCCTATCTTTCAGGTTGTGCCGGTTCAATTTTGAGTTCAAACAGTGAAACAAAGTGGCTGATAGGCAGCAGTCTTGGATTTTGAAAGTGATTAGTCTCTCAACAAGGAAACGTATTGATCACTTTTTCTGAGAAGTACACTAGAAATGTTTCTCAAACTTGTTGTGTCATGTTCCTCATAGTCCTTAGTTGTGCTCGTTTAGTTATAGCCCACCACCTTCAGATAGTAATCTCCCTTCATCTATAGTCTGTCATCCAAGCAATTCTTCTTTTCACTATTTCTTGAAAACAGTGGATGGAACATTTTCAAATTTGGAAAGTAGGTTCCCTTTGGTCCCTAGTTTTCCATAGTCTTGTTTTAGACTGATCTGAAAATATAATGATATAGCTGACACGCAGCCATCTTGGATTTTGGCAAACTTAGATTGTATTGCAATTTCTGGGAAATTATTCAATGCATTATTCTAAAATTTATTTCTGGAGTAGCACTGGATCTTCTAAATTTCATATGAAGGTTCCCTTTAGTCCTGTGTTGTGCCCAACTGATTTTGGGACTGATCACAAAAATGAAATGGCTGACAGACAGGAAATCTTTTATTTTGACAATGAGTTTTGAGTAGTATGGGATGGGTCTTTCTCAAATTTCATATATTGGCTCCCCTTTATCCCTTGAAGTGCCTGTTTGATTTTAGATCTGTGATCAGAAAATAAACAGCCATATTAAATTTTGACTGAAAGTTCATATTGCTATTTCTGTTGAAGATTTTACTCCAATTCTGTATATAGGTTCCCCATGGTCTCTAGATTTGCCCTTTTGACTTTGGTAGTGATCAGGAAAAAAAACAAGCCAATTTTAGTCTCTTGGTCTTGAAAATGAAAGATTTTATCACTATTCCTGCAATGAATTTCCAAATTTCATACGATGTAGAGCAAAGCCACATTAAAGTATGGAATAATAAGGAAAAAGAACCCTTTTAAAGAACATGTTAAGACCTAGCTATGATTGGTACCAAGGTTTCCCTGGGGTCTTTAGTCATTAGATAATTCTTAGATATCATATGTAGGATTTCCTTGATAAAAAGGAAAGAAGGGAAAAGTAGAGAAAAGATCAGATCTAGTAAAGATCATTCATTGAATATCCCTTTGGGGTCTTAAAGTGCTGTATCCTTTTCAAATCAGTGATATCACTTGTTTGAACCTATGATATTGCCTAATAAGTGGTAATACATGGATACCATCAAATGAAATTAAATAATCAATTGCTGTGGTGATAAGGTAACATAAGGTAACAAGATGCAATTTTATAGTAAAACAGCGCTACTTACAAGTGCACATCTAGCAGATTTTCAGTTGTAACAGTGGTTTTCTTCTACATGAATTCAGTATTTGTGAATTCTTGTCATTTAATATCACATTTGTTGGGAGACTACAATTAAGCAAATTGTCTTACTAGTGTATGTTTTCCCATGATTCTAAAAACAAACATTAAGATTTAAGGTCTTGTCTAACACTAGGATCTTCATGTATGCAAATATATAAAGTTATGATGTCACATAGTTGTCATTTTTAAGATGTCCTAGAATACTGCCAAATAAAAATGTATCGAGGCAATTTATGTAGCTAAGCATCATAAAGATTCAGAAATAAAGTGCAAATGTTCATCAAGTTAATTTTGATATCATATATATCATCAGCTCAATCATTTGCTTTTCTTTAATAATAGGACGTTAAATAAAAGTAGATGAAATGATCTCGTGGTGCTCTGTTGTTAGATATGAAAATCCCGTTTACATGTATGTGTTTGGACTTTTGGTCACAAATGTGTACGTTTTACTGCGATTCATATTGGGGTGTTGGTGGTACTTTGTGGTAATGCTAATACAATTATATTTTGTTTGATTTGCAAAGATATAACTTTTAAAAGGAAGTCAGAAAAGATTAGGATATTTTAGTCTTTCTGAATCCTAAGTGCAGCATATAGTAGTATGTACATTGTACATAATATTAACACCTTTTCAGGTGTCTCTATTGTGGAAAGAATTGTAAGCAAAACAAAATAAAAAACCTATTAACATGTTTTGCCTGTTGGTGAGGCCATCTTTACTAAATCTGTATGTATATAAACATTTGGTAGAATTTTAGAATCATTTGTTTGAAGTACACCTTGCTATGATGGAGGGCTATTAGTTTCTTTAATTTCATTGCTCTGGCATTTATTTAAGTTTGCAAACAGTACTTAGTTCTGTGATGAGCTATGATGAAAGGTTACCAATAGTATTCAGATATATATGTATAAGTTATATACGCTGTTATTGATAGTCACAGAAATGAAACGGATAAAAAGAATGAGTAACATTCACCAGGCAAGGGGGTAGCTATTATACATATGTCATAGTTCTGTATTCCATAGCAGTCACTGCTGGTCACCCCTCATTTTTGCTAAGAATTCCACTTGTCTCTAGAATTAAGGTAAAAGTGAAGTGAAGGTTAAAGGAGGCTTTTTTAGTTGTTATGTTTTAGTGTATAATATATGTACTCTGGTAATGAATGATTTTCAAATTTCTGTTACAGGAGATAACCTTGGCGGATTTGATTTTCATGTCAGTGATGGTGTTAATGGAAACAGCCGCCCTAGAAGATTTGAAGTCCGAGCCCAGACCCTGATGTTGGAATTGGTATTGAATCACCAACTCAATGTGTATCCAGGTCAGACCAAACAAATCAGCAAAGAACATCTGTACGCTAGAACAAACGACCCAAACCAGGAGCGCCCCATCCTTTACAACCTGGCATCGCGGCCCCGTAAGGGTCGAATAGTAACAATGTTTAAGGACCGGGCTGTGGAAGTACAGTCATTTCAACAGGAAGATATAAACAATGGAAACATCTACTATGAACACACCAGTACAGTATATGGCTGGTCACAGGTTGACCTCTTCTTCTTTGAGGTCTCCACCCTCTATGCAGATTCTCTCTCTGATGAGATGTTTGACATCAGTGTGTCGTATCGACATTTGGCAGAAGGAGAAATAAGTGATCTTATTCAAGTCGGTGATATAGTTGTAGGTGAGGGGCAGGAGGTGACTTTGGAGCGAGACAATCTTGATGTGTCAAGTTACTTGCAACAGCTCCAACATGATGGTAGGCGTGCATCTATTGTGTATGTACTGAATAATCTACCAAGACATGGTACTCTAGAGATGGACGATCAGCCAATGAGAATGGGACAAATATTTCAACAAGTAAAAATTGACTCACGAAAAATAACATATAATCATGATAATTCAGATACCCTATTTGACTCTTTCACTGTGATATTAGATATTAAGAATCTTGATGAGGAAGATCGACAAACAGACGAAGAGGTCAGATTGACCGTAAATATAACAATTGAACCATTGAATGATGAGAACTTTGAGGTGATTACACGAGAACCTGAAATCAATGTGGTTCAGGGCCTTCAGGCTTATATCACTAGTGATGACCTCCAGACTATTGACCCTGATACCCAGCCACAGGAGATAGTATATGATGTGACAGCACCTCCTCAAAATGGATTCATTTCCAATATAGGCTCCTCAGACACACCCATTTCTACCTTTTCACAAAAGGATATTGACGACAGGAGGATAATTTTCAACCATGATGGCATTAGTGGTAGCTCCAGTTTCAGATTTCGTGTGTCAGATGGAGCTTTCCCTGCAATGTCTAAAGTGTTTCTTATTAATGTTATCCCGATGACTTTAGACTTCGTTGGAAACAAGACTGCTTGGCTACTACAAGGAAAAAGCCAGGTGAGGTTGAGTCCAGATGTAATAAATATTAGGACTAATGGTATACGTAGTAATTTGATGTTCAATGTTACAAAGCAGCCAATGTATGGAGAGCTCTATAAAGGGCAGACAATTTCTTTATCCCAATTTACTCAGACAGATGTAGATAGCAACCTGTTAGGATACAGACAACAGGATATGTCATCACATATGGACTACTTCATGTGTGATGTGTTTTACCCAAACTCTGCATTGCTGTTGCGGGGTCAGAGACTCACCATTATGGTCCAGCCCCTTGTCAGACAGAAACCTCTTCAGGTTCGTCCAGGAACTTTGCCCAAGATCACACTACTTATATTAGATGCAAGTGAGTTAGCCAATAAGACCAACAGTAATCCTAATTATGAGGTGATTGATGCTCCACGATATGGGAAACTTTTGTATCATATACGGAGTAAGCGTGATACAAGCGAGGGTGAATTGTTCTCCTCAATAGACAGTTTCACTCATGATGATGTGATGTCAGAGCGGGTACTGTACCAGCCAGAAAATGATGCAGGAACCAACTGGAATCATGACAGTTTCACATATCTGTTGACTGCTCCAGGGGTCCAGCCAGCCAAGGGTACCTTCCTTGTAGACATAGACTCTGATAAAGGGAAGGTTCCCTTTACTGGAAGTGTGACAGTGACCCCTCATAGTCCCCACATGGACAATGACACTGATATTGGAGTCACTCCGAAACAGCTAGAGGTAGTCAGTCCTAATGTCAGTAATGACTTTGTGATTGTTATAGCTATAATTATTCCCCTTTTAGTGCTTATAGTGATTGCTGTAGTCATTGTGATTGTTCTGTGGAGAAAAAGACATGAAGGAGACTATTTACCAGGGGCGCAGAAGTATCTGCGGCCCTACAATACTGGGTCTATGCACCAAATAGACCAGCCCCATGTTCACATAGCTCCCCAGTCTCTGTCAGCAGAGGAACAGGCCCAAGCTGGGCAGAGTTACTACAATGTCCCTGTGGTGAATACGCCATCTGGAGGCCATACCTACAATGGGTACAGTCATTCAGAGCTGTCACCTAATGACTGGGAGTTACAGGCACCATTGTTAGACTCTAGTAGGACTGAAGTTAGCCCCACTGTACCAGAGTGTAAGGTGACTCCTCTTGGGAACGAGGATGCGGAAGAGAATGTGTCTCTGGAGCCTAGTGTAACAGACAAATCTACAACCAGTCTAGACCTGTACAATTGGTCGTTGTCAGATCCAGAGTTTATTCAGCACTGTCGTACAACTACGCCCGTCCTCAGGGAGAATCAGTACTGGGTCTAAGTCATTACTGGACTTGTGGTCTGTGAGAACTTGTCTGCTTCATCTTTAATCTTTTTGATATCTATACATGTATTAAATAGGACTTGGTAATTTATACATATGTGTGTGTTTTGAGAAAAAAAGTAGTAGGATTTCTTCAAATGAATTTTCAAATTTTGATGGTTTTTATATAAAATTATAACTCTGAAATGCAATAATATTTAGTATGACTTAAATACTTACAACCCTTAATTACTTTGCTGTCCTGTTTTCTTAGGTCTTTACTACGCATGTGTATATTATGTACATGTTCCTAAAAATAGAATTGTCTACAGTCAGATATTTATGTTCCACTTTAAAACAAATTTACTACTGTTTGTAGTATGGTGGTTATCATAGTGTACACGCCCTCCCTTACTTTGAATACATTATTTACAAACATGGTTTAAACATTTTATCTGGGTCACGTCCTTGTGTATGTGAATTGTATGTGAATGATGTGGTGTCCTGTTAATATTTATTCTGATACAGTAGCTGTGCGATAACTTTTCTCTTACCCTGGATACAGCCATGCCATATATCCACACCTTAACAGTTTAGATATTTCCTTGTCCTAAGCTAGGAATGAGATTTGGGTGGAGGGGTTTAATGAGGTCATGAAAACAAAAAATAGAACATTTATGACAATATTACATACATATGGAGACAAGCAGGGTAAGAGAAAATCAATCATGTGGATAACCACATTGCAAGATAAATTTGTGGATGTGATAGGATCTCAACTCTCTGGGAAAGATTATTAAGTTTCCAAACACTGGGTAGCCCCCGTGTTTGGCAACTTGAAAATCTTTCTCTTGGGGTTGAGATCTCAATATCATTTCAAAGAGAGTGAAAGATACTTTTAAACCATTAACTGTGTAAATGTTTAATGCACACTCCAGTTTACCATTGAAGGGGTTTGTACACTCCATAATTAAGTCTTGTAGAAAATTTCTGCATGGGTAGTATGGTTTGAACTGAGTTGAAATGATATATACATGCATTTGAGGTGAAACTACAATATGTAAGCTACATTGTACTGTGTATTAAGGAATGACATACTCTTTGTTGACCCTGATATTAATTGTCATATAACTCTTACTGTGATTTTTTCATATATTTGTCTTTGTTTTAATGAGATTCTTTAATTTTTTCATGTATTAAAACAATAATGATTTGGTGTTTTGAATGTGAGATACTTGCACATGTAATAATGCTAGTCAATTAATATATACTACATGTAGTATGAATGTATGTGCATATATTCCTTGTGCATGTATACCTGGTGTGTACATTAGTGTGTATATAAAAGGTGAGTTGTAATAAGTATTTAGTAATCACCATTGATGAATTACTCTTCCCAGCTTTCATTTTATACTGTTTATTTCATTTCAAGCTTATATATAAAATCTGATGTTAATATGCTATATGGAGATTGCTGGAAATTTGATTAATATTTTTTTTTTGTATATATAAGGTGTTCTCAAGTTGGTGTTAAGTATAACAATTGAGAAGAATTTAATAGATTATAGAATTTTAAATAAGACTAAACATCAGCAGTTTAATAGATTCATTTCAATCAAAATTCTGTCTTTTCGTAATGAAGAGTTATCTGCTCTTGTAAGCAGGTATTGATATCTATGTCATTAGTTTGTATGTGTGAAAGTTACATTATTTTCTCTCATAATTTTTGACATTGCTTTCACAAACAAATGATGTAACATGGAATACCTGTTGACAAGAGCTGATAATTCTCCAGTTCGATACGACAGAATATTCTTCAGGTTGGTATTGTCAATAGAATAGAAGCTATTACAACACAACCAGTAGATGATTTGAATGTGATGTTTTGATGACTACACAAGTGTAGCTGAATTGACTACAGTACATTGTTACCTTCTTGTGTATCTTTTGATTTATAATCTGTTTACCATCTCGTCATACTATTTTTGACCTTAGTGTACATAGGATTATAGTGTACATCTGAAATTTTTGTTTTACCATCTCTTACACGTCGGTGCTTGTGCACATCCAATGGTCATTTGTCTGATGAAGTTGAAATTGTTGTTATCGAAACATCACTCCAATCTTCTACTGATGGTGTTGTTAGAACTTCTATTATATAGGCTTTGTCATTTAAAGGAAATTTGATGATTTTGATCATTTTCCTTTCAGCTAGTTATGAGGATGTGTATTGAAAAGTCTATTTAGCTGTTTCAGTTTTTGTTTACCAGCTTTTGCCGAAATATGGCATCCATCCCTTTGTCATCTTTTAAATTCAATTGAAACAACTTCTTTTGAACCAGGAGGTCTAAGTAAATAATATTTTGTTGAATTAAACCTTGATGAAACTCGTCAAAGTTTATGAATAATAACTTATTTTCAGGCATTGAGCTCACAATGTGTGAAAAAGAAATGACCTTGCAATTGACTCCTATTCAAGGTCACTAGGATGAAAATTTGAAAATCATATTGTGAACTTCTACTTATGAACCAAAAGACGTAAAGACTTTGAATTAGAAAGTGGTAAAACTTAGCTAAGTGTTATGAAATTATCAATCTCTTGGACCCATGTTGAAGATATGAGAAATGTGTTTGAGAAAAGAACAAACACCTTGTGAACCCATTTATTCTCTTTTCTCTTTCTAGAAACTTAGCTGTAGTAATAAAAGTGAAGATTCTACAAACTAATTGCTACCTCCCTCACTTAAGGATAGAAACATAAAGCTTCATCATTTAAAAAAAAGGTGCATTTTAAATTTTCAATCAGAATATTTATTTAGAAATTGTCTTTACATGTATGTGTATGGATCTGAAATCATTTGCTTATACTTATTATTGGTATTCATTTTATTGTGTGTATGTTTTCATGTATATTGCCAGTAAGAGGGTATGAACAAATACTCAGAATTTTAATCAGGATAAAATGGCATTTAGAGATGTAGACATAGGTTGGAACTATATAAATGGCTTTGAGTCAAGATACAATTAAGGAAGTTGAGGAAGTCTGTAAGCTTGATCTGTCTTTGTTTATGGATTGTTAGATGTTATGGAATCCACACATTAAAGACTCTTGATTGCTATATAACATATAAACCTTGTGGTTTAATGGTGTATATATACAATCTTAAATGAGTTTTCATTTCATGAGATTTTTATTAAACAAGCCTTTCAAGTTTTAGTTTTTGCTGGCCTTAGCAAGTAAAATTCAAAATTCTTTATGAGTTTATTAATATATCTTGTATGAAAGTGGAAATGTGATGACAAAATTAAACCAGCCATTTGGTTGCACCATTTTTGATTCCTTATGTAATGTTTTAGTCTGTATTATGACATCACAACCAATTTCTGATAGACCTAGCCAATGAGAAATGCTTCAGAGTAGATTACACTGGTGACATGCAAAATTATTTCATGGGCATAGTCATTGAGTAACAGGACAATGATTAATAAATTATATTTTCAAATTAATTGAAATGTTTCTTGCTATAAGAGATGGTACAATTTCAGAATCACCCTGCTAGATTTTGAAGGAAATACAAATGAAACCATTAGCATACGGGTTTTGGATGTACAATTCCTTCTGAAAAGAGTAAGATCACAAAAATTTAGTCGAGCACAGTTTATTTTTTAATTCATTTGTTTCTGTCAGACTGCCTTCAAATTTGTACTATATTTTAAATGTGATATGATTTTAAATGTTTCTCAGGAAGAGAACTGTTAATTCTGTTCTAGCAGATTACATTCTATAAAATTGAAGGTCAGTATATTAAGTGTCAATGATTTTGCCCTGTGACCTGTAATAGGGTTCATGTCTGTTATAGTGATTATATAACTTACTTTCCTTTGGAAATGGATTGTTTAATTGTTTCAGCTTTTTACATATGGTTGTCTTCCATTTCTCTGGCAACATAACCTTCTGTATACTTATACCGCCAGATTCCTATTAAAATATATCACATTTAAATTACTGACAAGTTTTCCACTTCAATTTTGGTTCTAGAATAATCACCTATATATCAACTGAAATGTGAGGGGCATTTTTTCTGTAACTTTGGATTAATTTCATTTTGAAACCTACTGTTATTTCATTGTAGGCTTTTTTAATGTCAATATCTATATTGCTGGTGTTTGAAGGATTTTGCTGATGCATTTAGAAAATCAACAGTGATTATGCTTTGTGTTAAGGAATTCTTAATACATGTTTTAAAATATTGATTTTTGGCATTGTCCTTTTCAGCCTTTATGTTGATGTTAAGCAATTTTTAAAATCTGACATGCTTTCAGTTCTAGGGTTTCCTATTTTGACTAAAATTTGTACTTGACTCCATTTCCATCGATGTTGGAGTTTCACAAATATTTGAAGGTTAAACGTGACAGATATTTAAATGTATTATGAACATTTCTTTTCCATTTGATGGTATAAAGTTTTGTTCCAGGTGAAATTCAGACACAAATGTTTAAGGAAATCATTTATCTCAGGAATGATGACACAAAGCTTGTGAAAAAATCAATGTTTTTGAAAGTTTAGGGACTTCCTAGAATTGTCATCATTGTATATTTAGAAAAAACTGTTTTGGTGATGTATGCCAGATTCAATACAACTCTAGGTATGAATATAAGAGAAATCTGGTTATCTAGTGTTGCTTGAACTTTAAAGTCTTCTCTATAAATAGGGCAAAAGTGTGGAGTCCCTAAAATACCGAATAGGTCAGAAAATATTGAAGTAATAGATAATTAGTTGTAAAGCATGTTTACAGTTGAAAATGCCATTGGCTTTGTTGTATATCTTTTGTGTACATGTATACTATTGAATGTGTTATTATATTTAGATCTTAATATTTTTTCAGTGAATGAATGACTTTGTTTAATTTTTTTTGTCAACTTTATTGAGTGGATTAAATTGACTTGTTTTTATACTTGGGAGTTGGACAGTTGTAAGGGTACTTGCTTACTCCATGGTCAAGAGATGTACACATGTA